TATTTCTTCGTGATATATTAGAACACCACGTGTTTCCTAGTACCCACGATACTTGCATTGTTTCGTGATAACGGTGCGATATATAAAATATATAGTATATTTTTACCGTTTGATGAAATAACCTATTAATGCTTCGACAGTGTTACAAATTGGCTATTTAATTAAAATTTATGAAAATCACGCCAATTACCTATAAAAATATTCAAAAAAGTCCATAACACACACATCTTGATATAACGAATGAACACATTCCTATTTGCCCAAGACAACAAACAGATCTTTAAGAAGTTATAAATAAAGCGTAAACTAGAAAATTAATAAACTAAGGAATCAAAAACACCAATCAACGAGGGTTAGAACTGTTTAAAAAAGTATTTTATCGAATAATAGTGTAGATATACAATTATATTCAAACTGGGAATGTGCATTATTTTATGTGTGCCAGATGACGAGTTCACGACATCAGGAACTGATTTTTCCATTCGCAATATTCAGTCACTTACAGTGATAAATTTTCCATACAAACCGGGTTTCATCCAATACTGGAATTAGGATAACAGGAAGATAAGCAGATATGTGGGCGGTTTCTTTTATATTTGGAGAAATATTGCATATAAACAACAAAGTATTTTTCACAAAAAGAATTGACGATGTGTTGTCGTTACATCGTTATAGGGCCGGTTTGTGCTATTCTGCCGTCAGTATTTGTCACCTGCGTTTATTCGAGTGTAGAAGACATCAAGCATATTTATAATTTGTTGAAAATATAGATTAGTAGAGGAATGATATTCATTTTTAATTATTTCAATTTATTTATTTAATGATTCCTGACAGTCGAGGGAAGCTTTAAACTGTAATGAATTAACTATAAACTCCGTAATTGGTACTCAATGCAATGTATCTATCCATAGTTCAATTTAAACCATGAGTGAGCGGCGGGCCAAATGCACCCTCAAGGAAAATTTATGTGGCCCGCGGAGAAGTGCCAATTTTGAATATTGTGCTGCCCGCAAACCGAGTTTTCAATTTAATTAGATAGGTGCGAGTAATTCCAATCCCTTTGCGTTGCGAAGCTTATACCTGAGTCGAATTTAAATATGCCTATGACTTTACAATGCCTTAACAGCTTGTGCAAATAATGCATGTCATGAGATCAACCAACATTTTTGTGCCTGCAACACTAGATACACCAGATAGCCTATGTTAAATAAAGGTGCGGCCCGCGGTTCCACCCAGTTATTTCTATCTGGCCCTCCTTTATTAAAGGTTGAACACCTCTGGTTTAGACCAATAAATATAGTATTGAATTTTTATTCCTTGCTCAAAACAAACTAGTGGTATAACCAACCATCACAAACATTCGAATTGTACATAAATAACACCTGTCGACCTAAATGAGATGAATATTGCATGTGCAGTAGGACAATTAGTTATTTTAACGTATTGGACTGATTCGAGAATGCAATGAAATTTGAATAATGTGGTCCCAACAATACTGAATTGAGCAGTCAATCGTTTAATGTAATGTCATTTATTTTTCCAATTTTCAGTTCGCAGTAGAAATTATCGATGCATACCAAGTGAAGGAGGAGATCCACAGCATTGCGATAAAAGATGTGAAGTATGGGGTAAACGAGGAAAAAACAGATGTACTCTCAGTAAGTAAACGTTATAATTGGAATGGTTAAGTATTTGTTTATTTATAACAATAATGTGATAAAATATTTGGCTGCACGCCAAATATTAAAGGTTAAAATGGGAATCCATGCTTTTGGAACAATTACGTATCAATCACGTCACTTATAGGATGCGATGGATTTGTCAGTTTGAGCCAAATATTGAAGGCTTTGCCTTTTTGCGTGTGTGGAATCAAATATATACACTTTGAATGCTCTTCAAAATTGCAATGTTTTCGAATTTAAGACATTTTTTTTAAATTTAAATTAATTTTGCTCTGCTTGTAAATTTCTGACTACCGAGATTGCGAACCCAGTATTGCTATTGACGCCGATAATATTGCATATTGCGAGAATTTAGGAGGATTGTGATGTCCGATACTTAGTGGTAGCCCCGAAGACAAGCAAAGACAATGCTTACATTGTATGTATGTATCCTTCAAAAGTTTCGTCAGCTATTTTGAAAAGATACAATCAAATACAATTCCGAAAAATTCTTTGCATTTCTTTTGCAGCACAGACCACTATAGCTAACCGCTACCGAATTGAAATTCTACCTCGGCCATACAGGCCATTTTATAATGAATTCAACTGTCACGCTTCCAGAAATTTGTGGTGTAACAACGAAAGACATAGACGAAAATGCATAATTCTACCAAGTAATTTGCAATTCTATGATTACTGACTGTATTGTGACTAATTTGGTGTTTGCGTTAATTTTTGAAATCGTGTTATTCACTCATTTATTATTATTATTATTAACCTTTTCGAAGATGATGATAATTGCGACGGTAGTACCGACTCTTGTTGTAAATCGAGAATATGTATACCAGAAAAAAATCCAACTAGAAATAAATGTGACGAAAAGGGATGCAAATTTTGTGATGACGGATCAGGAAACTCAATCTGTGTATTTGCTCCAAAACCAGGTTATTTATGTGACAAATACAGTAATAAAACTGGTTGTTGTTCTGAAAATCTAACATTGAAGGTTTATAAATAAATTATATATTGGATTGTTTGTTGGTACTATCGTAATTGTAATTATGATAGCTGCATAACTTTTGCAGCAATTGGACATGTATAATAAAAACTCTTATAATAGCTCATAACAAAAATCTAAATCGAGTACATATAATTTTGAAAACGCCTGCACCTCACGATGTACAGTTAGTATATTGCTGGATAATATAAATTGCGTCTTGAAATACAACTTCTACGTTTTACAAAGTGCCTAATTCATTCAGTATGCATATAGAAAACAGATAAGTAAACAGAGAGAGGTGTACAATTTTAAAGGAAGTAAAAGAATCTAAAGAACTTTGTAAAGACATGAATTGTTTCTGGTGTCCAGGACCAAAGAAACGTGCTCCGAAATGCATGAGAGATTGGTTTCATAATCTTGTAGACGTAATGATCAAACTCTAAGAATTTGTAATCTTTATGTTATCCAAATACGTGTAAATCCGGAAATGTTGAAAAATGTAAGGTATCCTGTATTAAAGATTACGACACCTGTTTGCTTCATGGCTGCCGAAAGTGCGGAGCAGAAGCTGAAATAAAAACGAAAGGAGGGATTTTTTTTTATTGGGGAGTAATTACAGTGATTCCATACTATGATATACTTCTTATGATAGCACATCGCGACGTTGCAAACATATAAATTTTCAAAAATTCAAGCTTAATTAATCACAATTTTTATTTATACAGAATCGACCCATTGTACAACTTGTGATTGCATTAAGAAAAAAAAAGTCGATTGCTTCGCAAAAACAGAAGTAGCTTGTGAAGCCAAGAAATGTAAATGGGTTCTAATTCAGACACAAAATGTATGATCGTCGTTTCAAGTGGGGGAAAGAAATGCATATTAGTTATGAATGAACATCACAGTTAATCAGTTACGTATGTATCCAAAAAGCGTCTTGTGGGCTGATGTCACATGTGGTAAACGTTTTCCCATTGGCAAAAATGAATTTGAACTTCATTATATGTTTTGATTTCATGCTAAAAGCGGCATGTAAATCTTAGCTTACAATACCTCCAGTACAAAAGGCTCTAATCAATTGGCCATGCAAAATAGCTACTTAGATTTGGAACTGTTTCAAAAAATAACATTGTTTTACAAAGACCATTTCTGCTAGAGCTGACTGTATTTTTCTTAAGCTACGTGTACGCTAATTAAAATAATTTATAAATTAAACAACACTCCCACTTTATCTAAAAAGTGACTGAAATTAAAAATGGCAACAGTTGGGTTTTCTAAAATGCAATGCTTCGGATGGTGCTCCTGAAGTATGAGCACCAAGATGTCGCATAACCCGAACCCTAACCTGGTACACAACCTGAGTTCAGGTAGTGCGCCATCATGGTGCGCATAAATCAGGAGGTCCCTTCGGACTATAGAGATTTTGATAGACTTCTTTGATTTGATCCCTCTAATTTATTTTGACGTTTCACAATCCAGGGAGTATTGTATCCATCACCGAGTATGATACAGTGTGGGGCCGTTATTATTGACCAAGATTATCTGATTACTCATGTGATAGTCTATTGTTAACTGTTAAGATAACGACCTACTGTATGACAATTGTCCCTGATTCATGTGTTGAAGACGTTGGGGCTTTGTCCTATGAGTCAATCTTGTATTTGATTAAGAAACACTCATCTAAGCACTTTAGTAAAATCTGTTCAATACTTTTGAGAGACGACCAAGGACAGTTCTTGAATGAAACACTGATGGAGTTCAATTTCGGAACCTACAACAGATCCGAAGTTCCAGGGAATGTTGGAAAAGTAGAAAATATCAACGATTTTGGAGATATCGCCGTTCTGAAAGTAAATTAATTTTATGTATAATAAATACACACTTTTTGAAGTTTCGAGAATCCGTCGAATGCTCTTATTTCCAATAAAACTAAAAGTAATCAAAAGTAATATTTTATTCTATTATTAAAAAACTTGAAAAATCTACTTATTGGGGATAATATATACTTACATTCTGTTTATTTTAGCTGGAGAACACTATGGAAAGTTTTTGTGAATCCATGTATGCGATATACATGCCACAAAGTGAAAAAGTCGAGAAATACTTGCAATGTGTCGTAGCTGGATGAGCACATACTATGACTTTTTAAAAAATATCTTTTTTACTTGTATGAATTCCACTTAGAAAGAAACAAACTCGTATACTAGGCTTTTATTAGCTCAAACGTCGACTAAGAGTCTTAAAGCAGCACAAACCAAAGAATTGACTTTCAAAATCAAAACACCATGCTACTAAAGGACGAACAGTATACGTCAGCAGGGTCAAATGTCGTGGCTGTTTTAGGCGTTGCTAGATTTCAATACATAAATCACCACATTCTCCCCAGCTGATAAAAGTAAGACAATAAAAGTATAATAATAACTCAAGTATGAAAACGTTAACATAAAATAAATGGATTCAAAAGTCGCCCAGTCTCCATAACGATAAGGCGCCCTTTTGAAACGGCCCGACCGACGAATAGGCATCTCTTCCTTCTTAATTGGAGTAGAAGTTTTATCTGCTACTTCAACTAAATCATCAGAAGGGATTGTGTCATCGTTCTTCGAATCGAGATTCTGAAAACTGAATGGCACATCCTCAGGAGTTGATTCCGATATGGATTTAGTCTTTTCAAATTCCAATTGCTTGTAGTCAGATTGTACAGTTTCAGGGAATCGCGCCAGATCACTCGTTGAAACCGTAGATCCTCGACCATCAGGATAGCGAATTAACGAGTATTTGGTGTTAGCTTCCAGAAGCTCAACTTCTTCACAAATCGGGTCGCTTTTCACTCGTACAAACTTGCGAAGGAGTACTTTACCGCCATTCAATAGCCAGTCTGGTACGGAGTTTCCAATCATAGATAGTCTTTCAAAATTGAACATGCGATTATGTGGCGTAGTACCAGTGGATGTGCAAAGAAGTGATCTTGTCGCATGTAGAGCGTCTGGCAGAACTTCCTCCCAAGCACTCTCGGGCAAATTTCTTGATAACAGCATTAGTTTGATAGTTTTCCATATGGTCTGGTTTGCCCTTTCGCACTGGGAATTCCCTTTCGGGTGATAAGGAGTTGTATTGCTAGTCGCTATACCCTTTCTTGCAAGAAACCGTCTCAGTTCATTAGCCAAAAATGAAGTTCCTCTGTCGCTGTGAACATACTCCGGTAGACCAACCAATGAAAATAATGATGCGAGACATTTAGTGACAGTGATTGCAGTCATGTCTGCACATGGGTATACAAAAGGGAATCTACTATACTCGTCTAATACCACGAGCAAATATCGCCTTTTTCCCGCGACGGGACCTTTAAAATCAATACTAATTCTCTCCCACGACCGAGTAGCTTTGACCAAGTGATGGCTCCCATCGAATCTATAAAAATTGGGTTTTATTTGGGCACATTGTCGACAATTAGCGCATTCTCTCTTCACATCGTCAACAGAAAAGGGCAAAGATTTGGAGCGAATGAAATGAAGTAATCGACGAACACCAGGATGGCCCAATTGAGTATGAACTTCTCTTAGACTCATTGTACAACAAGCGTTGCTAGCACAAATTCTTGACAATGCGTCTGGTGCCACATTTTCTACACCTGGGCGATGAACAATTTCATAGTCAAATATGGAAAGTTCTAGTTTCAACAATTGTAACTTTGTATTCTTAATTTTACTTTTATGATTTTTTCGAAAAATGTATGCCAAAGCCTTTTGATCAGTTATCAGTTTAAACTTTTTCCCATGAAAAAGATATCCCCATTTTCTTACAGCTTCAACAATCGCCGCCGCTTCTTTTTCTACGGCCGGATGCCTTAATTCCGACTTACCGAGTGTTCGAGAGTTAAAGGCAACCGGCCTTCCTTTGTGACTCAATATGGCTGCAATCGCAAATTTGGATGCATCACACTCAATAACAAACGGTTCATCTTCATATATGCACCCCAAGCACGCTTTTAACAAATCAGCTTTCAGTAGTTTAAAAGAAGATAAAGCTTTGCCTTTGAGGGGAAAGGATGTATTAGTTGAAAGTGGCTTTAATTTTTCAGAAAATTTAGATATCCATTTCGAATAGCAGGCAAATAATCCCAAGCAACGTTTCAAATTACTTCTATTTCTAGGTGGTTTAAGATTAATAAGAGGTTGTAAATGATCAGGATCTGGCCGAATTTTGCCATGTGATACCAAATGCCCAAGGAATTTCAGTTCAGTCACTGAAAATACAGACTTATTTTTATTTAATGTCAAACCTTGCCGCTCCGCAGCATTCATAAAAGCTTTCAATCGTTTATCATGTTGTGGTTGATCATCCCCAAAAATTGTGACTTTATCTAAGTAAGCAAGGGTGCCTTCAAGATTTTCACGCTCGATGAAAGAGTCCATGTATCTCTGAAATACAGCCACTCCATTAGTCACTCCAAAAGGGACCCTGCAAAATTGATATAAAGAGCCAGCAGCTTCGAACCCAGTGTAAGGTCTGTCAACGTCAGAAATAGGAATTTGGTGATAAGCCGAACGTAAATCAATGATACTGTAAATCTTTCCTTTAGCAACCTCGTTAATTATATTGTTTATGCGAGGCAAGGGATACGCGTCAGGAGCAGTGTATCTATTTATTGTTTGTGAATAGTCAATAACAAGACGTTTTTTATGTCTTTGGTCTTTTGTGACCAATACTTGAGCGCGCCACGGCGACTCTGACCGTTCTATGATGCCCTCCCGCAACAGACGAGCAATCTCATCTTTGATGAACTTTAGATCATCGGAACTGTAGTTTCGGGACCTGACAGCAATTGGCTTACAGTTATCGTCAACAAATCGAAAAATACGTAAAGGTTCACTTACTTTTGCGCTAGCCAAATTGCAGACCTCTTTACCAACGTACAAGGAGTCGAGGTGTCCGTTGAATTCGAAGACACCCTTTCGATGTTTGCTCAAAAAATCTTGGCCCAGTATGATGTCCGTACACAGATTTTCCACAACACCAAACTTCATTGCATCATAAACTCTCGTTCCAATCTTTAGCGGAGCGTCCACAAACCCAATGGTTTGTGCAACTGATTCGTTCGAAGCAAGTGCAATTACAGTTTTTGGACCGTAGAGGGTGAGGCCAAAACTTCTTGCCACGGATGCCTTTAACTCTGTGAAGCACCGGAGTCTAGCAGAGCCATCAGAGGGTTTTCCGCAATTTTAGCAGTAATCGTCGATCGTGACAACGAAGTATGAATACCAGCTATAATTGAAGTCAGGTGCAAATAGCTTACGGTAGAAACCGATTTTTTTTCTTTACGACAAACTGTTGCAAAATGTCCTCGAAGACCACAATTAAAACACTCTGCGTTTCTAGCAGGGCACTTCAGTCGATTTAAAGCATGAATTCGTCCGCAAAAATAACACCTTCTACGGTTAACTTTTGTTCCGTAAGTACTTCTTGCAGCAGCTACGTGTTGGTCACTATTAGAGCCAAACTCAGAAAATTGGTCTTCTTTGTTTACCGAAAATTTATCATCCATTGAAGTAACGGCTGCTTGATGAGGCAATGATTGCAGGTACGAATGCGAAAATTTCTCGGCTCGTTCCAAAGAATCAGCAATTTGAATGGCTTTTTCCAGTGATAATTCGTCATATTCTAGCAATCTTTGTCGAATATTAGCGGAACATAGCCCTGTTATAAGCGCATCTCTTAGCGCCTCCTCTCTGTGTTGCTCGGCGCTGACTGCTTTGAAATTACAATCTTTCGCAAGCGACCTGAGCGCATGGGAAAATTCGGAGATAGTTTTACTGCTCGACTGAATCCGTGTGGCCAGCGTGTGCCTTGCATATATGATATTCTTCTTTCTTTGATAATGTTTGCGCAAAATCACCATAGCTTCATCATACACGTCCACATCTTCCACAAAGGAAAACACGTCAGGTGATAAATATCCACCCATGATAGCACATTTGTTGATTTGCCTTGAAACACCTTCCGTGGATCTGTTGGATTCCACAGCTGCTAAGTAATTTGTAAGCATTCTGTCCCAATGGGAAAATACTTTTAAAGCTCCAACTTCATTCGGCAAGACATCAAGCACTGGCACCCGAATAAGTTTTTCGTCGGAAGTTGCCATTGCTTTCGGAAAACCAGTTAATCGTTTCAAGTTTAAGTTTTTGAGCTAATAAAATTGTGGCGAACCTAATACAGAAAGAAACAAACTCGTATACTAGGCTTTTATTAGCTCAAACGTCGACTAAGAGTCTTAAAGCAGCACAAACCAAAGAATGACTTTCAAAATCAAAACACCATGCTACTAAAGGACGAACAGTATACGTCAGCAGGGTCAAATGTCGTGGCTGTTTTAGGCGTTGCTAGATTTCAATACATAAATCACCACAATCAGTAACAAACAGGATTTCCATATCAATAACAATATCGAAAAATCGGTTTGGAAAACAAAGTTTTTCAGTTACTCAGAGATAACAGCACAACACAATTTGGTAAAGTCAGTTATAGATTTTATCAAATATTACTCCTGTTTTCTTTGTAGAATTAAAAAAAAATATCGATTGTATAGGTAAAAACAGTGAATATACAAACCACTACCTATACTTTGAATCAATCATTGTGATCAGACGATCAATTTTATCAGATCTTTGGATTAAAGAAAGTCTGATAATGTTCTTTTTTATGACCAACTCCACAGATTCCGGCGTATGCATCCGCAAGAATACAACTCACGAAAGCTTTGTTAAAATTCTACATTAGGGCCTTTGTGAACAGGCTTGGGGTTCAAAAGATGATATGATACATTCTGAATTGTATTTCTGTGGAGGATATTTTGATGGGAATACGGGTGCTTGCATAGTATGGTATATAACAGTGGTTCGCAACCTTTCATGACTCGTGGATTTTAACACGGCACGAGTGTGTTCATCATTCCAAATATACAAAGAATGCAAGCTATGCGCACATTCTATAACTAGGCCTATCGATTTACATTGGTAGAGTCGAAAGCAACGTAACTGTCGTCCCATTTCCGTTTTGGTGGAAAATTAGAAATTAAAAAATATTTTTGAGCGTTTACGATGGCTACCTCGCCGTCCTGTGAAACTGTCTTCATAAGTAGACCAGATCGTTATCTGCAGGTAATATGGCCTGCTAACCAACTACAAAAATTTGTGGAGGAGAGAGTTAATTATAGTATTATTTTGATTGGTAGATTCCAAATCCCATTATGATAACGCATTCATATAGACAAGGAACTAAAAACATTCTGCAGTTTCTTGTATATGAATTGTCTCAAAGAAACGGATGCATATACCCAGAAAAGCCAACAGTTTTTGCTAGTGTGATTCCACATGAAGATTCTATACACACTATGCTCTTTCCTCAATTGGATCCAAATACGTACCAAGATTGCAGAGACAATGATTCTGTCAAAGTTCAGTGAAATCAGGATAAAATCATGTCATTTGAGTCTGTCTCGATCAAGTATTGGAATTAACATATTCTCATGTCAAACAATATTCAGTTACTGGCGCATGGGTGGACTGCTGCTAAGCAATTAACGCGTATATATAATATATATACTCTATATGTTTTTGTAGGTACCTATATCAAAATTATATTGGTGCTGTATAGTTTTGCATTGATAAAAAATATATGAAAATAACGTTTTGACGACTATCTGCGAACTCCAAGAACGAAAAAGTAAACGTCATCAACATAAAAAAATGTATCTAATACTATCACGTCCTGTAGTAATTGAAAAATTATTACTTTCACATTGTTTTCTGAAAAGACTTGATGGCTCAGAATTTTACTCAGAACTAGAATTATTGTCGATATTTAAATACGTGTTTTAAATGCAGCTATCTTATCGTTCTCAAGTTTTTATGTCTCGGATTTATTTTTGCATTTGTACCATTCGGGTTTCTTATTTGAGAGTCCATGGGACTGGAGGATTGGGCTGCGTTTTGGGTTAAGTTCAAAATTACAAACATTTTGTTCAAGCTCAATTTTAAGTCATGAAATTGTTAAAGATAATGAACGTTAAATATTGCTAAGGTTATTCCTGTTTCTAGTCTCTACATCAAAGCTTTCAATTAACAATTTATCGGACTTCGGTTTTAAGCAGGATTCTGGGTTATTTTACATTCAATGTATATATTTACTAGGAAAAACAACATCGAATGCATCGCCTTTTTTGGATAGAACATAATAGTTTGGTAAAATACCTTGTGTTCGTACCAAATCCCAATAGGAGTGTATAACTGTAAGAAAGAAAATTGAATACTTAATTCATGTAATTTATCAACGAAACATCTATATATAATGAACGTTAGGTATGTATCTACATTTTGAACTATTTTCACTCTCAAAACATCCCGGCAAGTTGTGGGTTATACTACAGGAGCATAAAATCACAAAACGCCTTCAATATATTTATAATAGTGCCTTGACAGCTGAGTATATGTATTGTGTATTCAGGATGAGTTAGATAAACAAACAAAAGAATGTATTTCCCATTCAGCCAATCGAAATGGCATATATATATAATATAATGATATTCAAAAATAACGCGGATCAGACATAAATCAGAGAAAACGCTTTCTCACTTTTCAGAAACATGTCTACTTCAAGTATAGACGGTTATAATTTTGTTGTTTCGGTCCATTACACCACAAAGAAATCATGGTTTTACGCCGCCATACCCAACTATTCTTCTAAAGGTGAGGTTGATTTGAGGCATGAATTAATATTATTCTTCTGTGTGAAACGAGTTTCTCCACATAGACGCTCATCCGTAAAAGTATGCAATATTTTGACGATGCAACGATAGCGACCATACATAATCCAATGTTGATATTGCATAAACGTTACACTTTTATTCTAAACCCGGGTATTATAAAAAGTGTTCAAGCAGAAACTGGAATACGATGAATTTGGTATCACGTTATAAAATTTTAAAAAGTCAGATTTGTTGAGATGAGTTTCGATCGATTTAAATAGAAGTATGCTGTAAAGGCTATTTATTCTAGAACAGTCTAGTATTTCATCTGATTTTGATACTATGCGGCGACATTAGTAGAATTTTGCTTTTCAATTCTTGTACTTTGTTGGGTAGTTATAATATACTCGGACCATGTTTCATGATTAGTATTGCTTGATCAATGATTAAGAAAACATAAGATAATTGTATTCCAAACTTGGCAATGAATCTAAATCTATACTGAACAATGGAGCGAGAGTGTTCTATTATTTAAACATACTCAATTTAAGAATTTGAATGGGTGTTTGTGAGTTATTTTATGAAGTGAGTCACCACTAATAACGCTCTGAACAACATGATATGTATTCAAAACTTGAGTAGAGAATGTTGGGATTTTGAGTTACTAAACAACCTTTGATATTAGCTTATTTAAGCATTATTTTGTACCATTTTTGGTACCGATTTTAAATTTAGGAATAAAAGTAAAATTGACATATATGTGCTATTAAGTAGGAAAACTAGAATTTTGATGGACGGAAATTGGTAGCTATGAATTCATAGCATTTCTGTCAGAGTGTCGTAATACCTCACTAGTAAACAATCAATACATTGGCAGACAAAATCGTTAAAAATTCAATTAATCCAAATAAAGATACATTTTCCGGTTGTAACTATGCCCCTTGTATGATCGTGAAATCTCCGTATGTCGTAATTTGCCAACAACACTTGTGTTTACGATTGGTAAAACCAATTTTCAAGTCAAAATTTTAAAGAACCGTATGCGGTCCCATTTAGAAGACTGACATGGAATGAGCATATGCTTACTTGTTTACATTATGTATTTAGTGCAATGTCTGTGATTCTATTTTTTTCCCTATATTTTTAAGAATAATAGTAAAATAAAAACTATTATTCAAGTCCAGTAGAAACATGGGCAATTTCTTTAGTTCATTGTTTGGAAACAAAGAAAGTGAGTATAATTAAATATCATTAATAATTAAGATTCCTAATTGATGTGACATCAAACTTAGATACTCCATATGTTCCTCTTACAGCTCTTTACAGATATGCACATTTGCAATCGTGGATATGTGATCCTTCATTCCTGTTCATTGCCATCCATGATACATAAGAAACAAATACGAACTACCCATACCCATGCTCGACTTTGCGCGTCTAAGTAGTAAGTAGACGTTACCGGACCAAGCGTAAAGCGTAGTATTATAATAAGACATTTAGCCTTCATATAGCACAAAATTGGAACATTCGGATATTCTCCTATCTAAATTCCGTTCCACGTCGTGAATTGCAATGCGTGCCACTCAATTTTTTCACTTCAAGATATTTTCAATATTGTTTCTATCACAATATATACTGACTTGCAACATTGCAGAAATGTATTGTGGTGCCTTTCTTTGTATGGTGTTTATGCTCTCCATAGTTATTTTTGTATGTCCGTTTGCAAAATAGGCTGTTGCTGAGTAAAAGTCCACAGGCAGACATTCAAATGTGACGTCATCCTTTACTTAGACATCCGGAATACTTTAGCGCTAAGATCGATATATTTCATTATAATTTTATCTGCAAAAAGGCAGAAATTTGCGTTTGCTATTGCTATCAACGTAGACTACATTTGTGCATGAAATTTTGCAGCAAATCGCAGATAACTTATTTAATTTAGAAATAAAGTTTATATGAAATGTGCGTTTAGTATATAGTCACTCATGTCATGTAGTACTAACTGACTATGTACATAGGCAATATTATCTCAGTGCGTATGTTGTGAATTAACTATTAAAATAATGGGAAATTGCTTTGAAGGCCCGCCAAAACCGGAAGTGAAGCCTGACGACTCTCCAGATAAAGACGATAAACCGGAAGTCCCAGAAGAAGAGAGTCCGGCAGAACAACCGGAAGACAAACCTGAAGAGGAACCGACAGACAAACCGAATGAGACCGTTGACGGTAACGAAGCTTTCAATTTTCAGAATATCACGTATTTATGTTTTAGTCTAAAAAATATGCCAACTTGTTTAATTATACTCGTATAAATAAGTTGTAAGGACCAAACGTGGGCCAAGAATTTACCACAACTAAAAGTACTTTTTAAGAATCGGCCAGACTTGATATCAATAAGTTGTTTTGCTTTATCATTATAGGAATTTAAAACTATACCGCTTGCAGTCATATCTTCAAATTATCTTTGAAATACGTGAATACCAAATATGATATATTTTATATAAAAAAAACCTCGGTAAGCCCTGGTTCCGCTCTGCTACGATGTTCAAGTCAACAATGACACACAGAAACTTGAAAATTTTTGTTCAGCGCATTAAATCAAGCATTAGAGCGGAAAGCGCATACCTTCGATACCATTCAACCAATCCCACATCAAAATACCACAGTCGGTCATTTGACGTCGTTAGGTAGGCGACCGTAATTATCTACAAAATTGCCACCCGCGTAACATTAAACAGTCGGCTATTTCATCGATATAGCGCAGTAGCGTTAAGGATATATATGGGATCCATTGATTTATCTTGGAATTAGACAATGTGCGTAAGTTAGTGTATATCCAAATTACGCTTATTTCTATTTTTTCTGCCACACACTTTGGTTATTATGTATTGACTAGTAAAAATTGGTTTATGTTACAACAACGCGCATTTTTGGTGGTAAGCAATCGTATATTATCGAGCTTGGACCATACAAGTGATGATACTAAGTTATATACGTAGATAATTGAAGCAATAATGTTAAGGATGCAAAAGGTTCTCAATATTAGTTGACGTACGTGTTTATTGGCATCAGCACAGTCAAAAACATGTTCGAATAAAATGGTCATCGTATTGCGAAACGAATGCTGAACTTACAGCTATAAAATAAATCTGAGTTATAAGCGCAATCATTATACTGTTTCCTCATTATTGTCGTTTCGACTAGAATTACCCGTGATATTTTATAGTGTATTTATTTTCAATAACACTTTGAGCAACAAAGCGCCACGTGATATAACAACATTAAGATGTACTATGTGGTTGAAAATCCTCGCCTCTCGTTTCTACGAAAATCATTCTATAACGATTGGTCTTACCAATGCTCGACTTCCTCAGACGAGCAGAAACGATAAGAAAAGAACATACATGTGATTCAGATGTAGATCAATAAAATAGTGTAAATTCGTTTGAGGAGATTGATTTATAATGTAGAATGAGCAATAAGTAGCTAGATCATCAACAGATCATCAGGTATCAGAATAATAATGTGCAAATCGTTAAACAATTGAGCAAAGAATAATTGTTCTGTAGTACATATCACCTTGTTACAGTAAGTCTCACTTAAACTATACAAATCGTTTGTTAATGATATATTATCTTTTGTACAACTTTAACAACTACAACTTTATATTTTAATGTTTTGGCTATGGAAACTTCGTAGCTAAAGTAGTTTAGGGGAAAGAAAGGTTGTATCGTCAAACCGCAAATGTAAGCGAGAATTGGTTTTACCAATAAACAAGTATATTAGAACAAGTTATCTATGTTTTTTGTTAGACGTATTGAATCTGAATTTGTATGGAAATTGGCAATAAAACTTATTATAAAAATGTGCATTTAAGGTAAACAGAGGTATAATTTAGCCAATGTTCAAGTGCACTTGATATCGTTCTTGAGGGTTTTTGAATACGCTGAATACCAACGACATCGGTCTGGCATGGTAGAAGTTTAAAAGAAAGTGTTAGAGATTGGTTATAGTTCGAGCAAATATACATACAACTCATGTTCTATTAGAACCGCCAATAACATAACAGTCTACTGAGAACAGCTGAAGATTACCTGAATTTGGTGTTAGTTAAATTGAACATAAAAATTGAAGTTTATCAAACAGTTCGTGTGAAAATGTTTTGCAACTACGATGTAGCTTTATTTGGATTAACAGCGACCGCCGTCCATAAAAAGTAGCAGTGAATGTCATTAACACAACTTCTAATTGAAGCACCTCATCTAGCTAGGAATTAGGTTAATTGATTATGTGACTTGGATTTTCGAGCTCTTTGAAAACAGCGTTGCCGAAGTAATCTTCAACTCGAATTTTACGACGCCCATCGGGTACTTGTCATATTTATCAAATATATTAAAGTAGGAAAAAATGAATGTAAAACATTCCTTCATTTGCGAATTTGATATAGATAGGACATAGTGAGGAAATTCAAGTTATACCGCATTAACGTACAAATTAGTCTAAACAAACCAGAAGGAATGTCAGTTAGATTCGGGTGGCATTATGTTGAGACTTACTCAGAATTACCTAATGAAACTATATGCTCATTCCAATTTAGTTGTTTAAATAAGGACAGCGATTTTTGACATATTTCAATAAACAGGAGGTCAAAATATAAAACACGTGGTTAGACCACCCAAAATTTTGTTATTTTCTACAAAATTATTTGACTACTAAAAAGCATTGGAGAGTTCGTTTGAAATCAGCTGCATAATATAAATAAAAATTTACAGTAATGTAATGAGATTTGGTATGGCGAAACTTCCTACGTCTTGAATTATCATAATTACGAGAGCGTTTCAAGATAAAAGAAAGTTTGTATTGATCATGGTCATAGCCAATCGTGCGTAACTTACCCACGTTTTTGCGTGATATACGTCAATGTTGTACATGTCATGCAGTATTCGTGGGCGGGCTTGGGGTGAAGATTAATAGCAAGGGCTCATTGCGGGCCGAATCAAAATACCAACACGACATATTTAATCAATGGAAAACGTTTTTCTCAATTTTTACCCAAAATTCCAATGTTATAGACTCACTTGCTTTAAAGGCGTTTCATTAAAAAGACTTAAAATTGAATAATCCTACGAATTTCTCTCAACCTGATTATTGATTTTAACAGAATGATTTTTGTTTCGAGGGTGCGAGTTTATCATTTCAGTAAAAGTACCGTAATCATCGCACAGGAATAGAATGTAAAAACTTCGTTAGAAGATTGAATAATTCACAGTCAAGTAATAAGAGATATAGAGTGAGACAAAATGTTTGTTTTATTTATGTAAAATGCGAATAACACAATCAATGTTAATAAAATTCATAACTTTTGGTGTAACATTTTTAAAATAGAAATAGTAGCTTAATTTCAAAATTCTCGTTCATGGTTCTTCACTTACAGTTGCATTTTTTAGCAGTAAATTAAAAAAAAACGTAATTCGGTAATATGGGAAATTGTTTTAATAAGCAAGATAAGCGAAAAGAGGAAGACAGGGCACCAGCCCCAGGTAAAATACCTAAATCTGTTTTAGCGTTGTGTCTCTTCCAAGAGTCCCACGAGTTAATGCCTGTTGCAATAATGCAGGCTGAAATACTTATTCTATTTGAAGCTGTCGAATGATCGTTCTTGTACTACAAACCTCATTCATAAAAATTTAATTTGGCAAAACGACCCCCATTATCTAACTCAGCGTTCAATAAGTACATAACTCGCGATTCCATTTATACGTTCACGCGAAAATTACAAGGCCATAGCGATTATTCAATTTCCCAAGCCTTTTGCGTTGCTTGCAGAGTATTAATCCTGTATTTTTAGTGCGCTCCATGATCACCTTTTATTTTGAATTATATTTAGCTGGGGATGACTCGTTTGCTGCTCAGTTGTTGAAAGCACAAAATGTTTACAGAAAACAACATGGAGTACCACCTCTGACTCTAAACGCAGAAATGAGCAAGGATGCTCAAATGTAAGTGGAAATTATTTTATTTTGTAACAAACTACTGAAAATTCGCCACTGACCCTTATAACCACAGATACATCGATTTGAAAGTAGTTTCCTACTCAAAATAAGATTTTCAAACAAAATGAGAACATCAATTTCTGATCTTCTGGAAGCAAGTCAGCTGGATAGCGCTTCTCATTGCACGAAAAAAAAACGTGTATTGTGAGAATTTGAAAATTTGGCCTGCTCTTTAGATTGTTGATAGTTCATCGATTATTGATAATAAAAATAAAATATGAATTTATATCAAGTTGTCAGAAAAGAAACCATGAAGCTCAACTCACTCAAAGTCTTAGTACATTCCACGAATTTTCGGAAGAAAAAAAGATCATAATTATTTTTGTTTAGTTGGGCGGAACGTCTTGCTAAGCGAGGACAACTGGAACATGCTGATACAGACCTGGGTGAGAATTTGGCGATGAGGTCCCCTGAACTCAGTGGACAGGACGCCGCGAAAATGTGGTACGATGAAATTCAATATTACGATTTCAGCAACCCGGGATACAAAGGAGGAACAGGTAAGCTTTGTATTGAAACATGTCATATAATAAATGTAAACTGTCGTCACCAAGGTAGGGATTGCAAAAAAGACTTTCTCCTTAAACTATGGATTAAATTCTTTTTGTGCACTATATGAAAATTTTGTAGTAAAATACTTGTATTCCGATCAGACGTTTGGTGAATGGTTCCACTTCTTCGGAGAAAATAAATTATAATAATAACATACAAAATATTGAAAATAATGGAACTTAACCTGATTAGTCTGAAAACTGGCAATTTTTGCATAAATGAAAGAAAATGCATTAAATTATACAATCTGATTTACTCCAGGCCATTTCACTCAAGTCGTCTGGAAGTCAAGCAAGGAGTTTGGAGCCGGAATCGCCAAAGCTTCAAACGGGGGTTTATATGCAGTAGGGAGATACAAACCTGCAGGAAATGTCACCAATCCTGGATTCTTCGAAGAAAACGTTCTAAAAGCAAAATAATTGCAGTACACTATATATTTTTAAAAAGCAGATGTTTTGAAACTATGCCTAGACCAGCCAAGTGTATATCAAAATACAAGTCGTTTTGAAACTAATTTATTATACATAAAAAAATATTTATGTCCATCTGAGGAGAAAAAAACTGTATCTTATTTTGAACAAAATTCTGAAAATGATTTTATTTTCTGATTACTTTCTTGTTAAATTCTCTCCAGAACATGTACATTTTCTATATTTTCCCAAAAGTAGATTTACGAAATCAATAAAAATTATGTAACATATACTTTCTTGTGTATTCGAAACAATATTAATGTTTTTAATTCTTTTTACTCACTTGCCCCACATCTCAAATTTAGTCTTCATGGCTTGATTTTTTCAAAGTAATCGAGATTTATTTCTTACCCTTACAGCGTAGAAATAATTTATGTTTAACAAAATTTTATTTTTCATTCAAATATTAGTCGAATAAAAACGCCAGAAAAAAATAAAACACTCAGATTAGTGCATTGAAACATCCGACATGTTTATTTGTGTTTTGTCTTGTTACACATTATTATATTTCCTCTCTATTCTGTTAATGTAGGACTGGGACTGTTTTCAACTTTTGCTTCATTTTTACCATTTTATTTAGTTGGAAAACCTTGCCAAAAGTCACATAGGTTGAACCCGCATCAGTTAAAAGTAGTTATTAACCAAGAGTTCTGCCAACTAATTCTATATTGCTTATTATTTTGTAGTTGGTGTTCTGTAATGCTGTATGAAGTGTTACTTTGATTTCAGAAAATGTAAAAAAAAATAGCATTTTGACAGTATAGTAAGAATTTATATACCGTTTATATGATATGTAACCAAAAAAATATATGTTACGAACTATATATCATTTATAATCGATGTACTTAGACTCAGTTTAGTCTTTACTTAGTTTTCGGTCATGATTTCCTCTTATAATGCAAAAGAATTAGTGAGAAGTTGGTTCATCGAACCTTTTAAGATCTTCATCCGCCCGCCATTAGAAATCTTTTTTTTTCTTCATAGTATTCGGATATAAATGTTTTAAAAATGCAAGTGAACATTTCACACTAATACAATTACTTTCTTGCTAAGAACGTATTGATATTATTTAGAGCATGAGGAATATACTTGCACAGGAATGTACTTCAGTAAAGATACAATACCTATATAGGGATATTTGAATGTGTGAATTGATTCTGTTGCCAAATCCAAGAACTTCCGACTCCGACGAAATTGTCTTTTTATTTGTGGACCAGTTTATAGATTTGCTGTTTTAGCAATTGGTTGGATTTTTTTGATTTCTAGAAAAATATTCGATCAGCACTTAAATCTTTTAGGCTGGTATTACCTTTATTTTACATTTCCGTCACGTTTGTTTATTAAACCTCTCGACAAACTAGATAGGCTACTCTATGATGCAGTAATTATCAGCTGCTGTTGCGCGGAATACTAGTGTTCCGTAAGACACCTTTAGGTGTTCCGCGTCAAAATGTTGTACGTTCAGTATTTTTATTGGCATCTGCTCAGTTTGGAGCAAAATATTAATTTTGAAAATTTAAAACGCTTTTCAAACTAAAGCTCTTCGAATATTCCCATAAAAAGTACTAAAATTAGACAATGATAGAAGTAGAAGAAAGTGTGAAGATTGGGACATTGTTTTCCTTGCATCTTTTTGGCCCTATACCCTGCACATTCATTTGTCAATGTTGGGCTGATGCAGAGAGAATTAAATGTAGTTTTTATTCAGCGACTAAGAAATTTCCTAGCGACACACAATATTACCGCCATAATGCTACTAAAGGTTTCGTGCTCTTCTAAACAAGCTCATATATCATATCAATATTGCATAGCTGCTGACAACTACAAACAGCAAGTTTTAAATAATTCTCATTACTATAGTAATGAAGCTGTTTACAACTCGAGTAAAAACATAGGAGGCTCGGAACATGGATTCCATATTTTATTTTAATTCCACTTTTTATGCTTCACAAATAGAAACACAACCTAACATTTATTAAACGCAATTTTTCACTTGCTACATCTTTTATTTTGATATTTTCTTTCTGTATTTGATTGAAAAAAAAATGCTTGGAAACATGCCTTCTTTTAACTTTTACCTCCACGTCCTTTTTTCACTTGTCACGAGAAGAACAAGGTATCCATTTTGCTACATATATTAGAAGTACCAAAGCATAGATTATGCCCAAACTGTACTATTGATATCTCGTGCAGCAATCTCAAATTGATTTGGAAATTATTCGACCGCTATTTGGCGCAAGAGATTTTACGGCGAGACTCAATTTGCCAAGCCGACCACGAATGAGAATTCTAAAATTAAGTAGCATTGTATCCGCCCTCCGAGTCTTAGCGTATTCATCAAATTATTATATCAAATTATTACTATATCAACAGCAGTCAGACAGAAGCATTTACAAATATTTGATCCTTTCTTAGTGGGAGACATATTTCTTCCATGTTATCTAAAACAAAGATTGACACATAGAGATGCACAGTGATCTCAGCAAACATTTCGCTTCGGAATCAAAAATTTTATCTACATGTTTGAAAATTCCGGCTCACTGATAAATATGGATTATCAAGCTTTGTTCATCAATGTATCATTCTTGATTTCCATAAAAGTTGTGTTAATTGACTGTGGATGCACAAATGTGATTTGTAGCCATTTTATATCGATAACAGTGGCAAAGTAACAACAAGGCAACAGTCGCGCGATGGATAATATGGCAATGTTCATTGCGATACTTTTAATTACTTTTCGGATAGGTTTGGCAAACTTGGATAAAAACTATGAAGAAGGTTGCTCCGAGAATACGGTTAGTTTTTTTTCGTAAGATTTTAGCAAAAAGCCAAAAAAAGTTTCACACTGGTAAATACTTTCAGTTATAAATATAATCCAATGGCATTGAAGTTTACTACTTTCACAAACGTAAAGTTAAAAGTACAGGGCCGTTGAGCGATTCAATGATATAATATTACTTACAAATTGTAGATACAATACTGGTCGTACATATTTATACTCGTGAATTAGTAGAAAAGAAGGTAATTCGTACAGTATATAACATCGGTAATAATGTATACAACTGAGCAATGCTTAAATATACGGTGAAATGTCAAAACAATGTTACCATCAATTAATATGAGCCGACCAAAATAAAGGGGGAAATATCGAGTAATGTAGGTATCAGAAAAATAAAATAAAAATAATAGTCTTACTCACTCATTCTATCCGAAAGTGCCCAAAATTTAAAATCTATTAATTCGGTATTTGCCGAGAAAAACGTTTTCATAAAATATCATAACCCTAATCATTCCAACAAGACTAGGAATAACAACAATTCAGCAAAACGATGCCTATGTGCAGTTCGTTTCCAATAACTTTGATATCGATAGGTCAGTATAAAAACAAATCATTATATCATCAAAATATATAATACTTAACACGATTTTGTCCCGCACACAAATTCGTAAAGTAGCTAAGTGTTTTACTTGAAATGACGCGACGCTAATTTTATGTAGAATCCGAATAGTTTGATATACAATTCTCAAAAAATAAAAATAAAAGTGCCTTTGAATCGTAACATTCCACTTAATAAAGATTAATATAATACTATCGAGAATATCTTGATAGCTGATGGACCAAACTGCCGGTTTAAAATTAATTCATTTGAGTCCTATTTTGAGTAAACGTCTTTTGTTTTTGATTCAGGTCAATCATTACTGCCCGTCAACATGTGCCGTGGAAAAAGAAATTCTCTCGTATGGACGACAGATCAGAGAAAATATAATGGCTGTCCGAGAGAAGTTACAAGAAACAGAATCACTTCAGGATACATCGTCACAAGACGATGAAGAATCATTTGCATCCGGTGAATAGAGCGCTATTTTGTTTTGTCAAAATTAAAAGCAAATAACCTGCCTAGGACCCAGTGTTCTCTGCGTTGCGATGATATTATTTAGATAAACTTTTGACGCGCAGAGCAATCAGTATATGTCGATACTGTCAAATTACTCGAATATTTCCATACGGGTTTAAAATTTTATTAATACTTGTTCATATCAAATGAAATATTAATCGTATTGATATTTACAATATTTTGCAAACTTTATGATTAACAGGTCATTTAACAATTCGCGAACAAAATGAATTAAAAGAAGCTGTAAGGATGTTGGAAGAAAGTTCAAATACGCAACGAAAAGCAGTTGCGGACGTCTTGACAGAAATAGAAGACCAGAAAAGAATTATTCTAAGTAAAAAGATAACTTTACATACATAATTTGGCGCTCCAGAAGTGTGTGCACCAATATGGAGGTAACTAATTTTGTTCGCCTTTTTTTCATCAGGTTGTGTAATGGGACTGAAACCTATGGGGGTATATTCACTTGGGTAACACAGACAGTCCCCGAACTCGTAATGGATCTAAAATAAGGAAAATCGGGATAAACTCATGACCTAACCCTAACCTGGTACACACACTATACTAATTTTATAAACATACTTTAACTTAAATAACATAAATCATAATATAATTTTACTTTCAGCCCTTTTGAGCGAAATAGATGAACTGGCAGATGAATGTGGAAATAAATGCGATTCAATTGAAGGTATCGATCTAAACAAGATAGTATTTTTTATTTGTGTGTTTGCAAGCAAAACGATTTTTTTTAACAATTCTAGGTGAAAACAAAGACTATGAAAAAGAACTTCCACCTATTCGCCCAGTTAATTGTGACGATGACTTATGTGGACGTGCCGCTTACGGAGTAACTGTTTTGGCTCGATATGTTCAAAACGGACAAGTCTGTTTTGAATATGGAGCTCCTGAACTGAGAAACTGTGCAGATTTGTACGAAAGAGGATACAAAAGTGAGCCTACAAAAAGTCATTATTATACAAATAAGATTACCTTTTAACAAAGAAAACATAAGCCGTGGAAAGTTTTAATTTAAATATATTCATAGTAGAGCTGTAGTTTGATTGGTTGATGCACAGAACATCAAAAAATAGATAAATAGTGTAATATATATGACAAAATTGAAAAGTTTTGGGAATTTTTCAAATGTTCATAATATTCGTTAAAATAAAAACTTTTTCTCAATAATCCCTTATTCAAATAATTTCGGTTCGAATAGTGTAGTATAATTTGCATTCAAAGTACACAAAATTTTATTTATCTGAATTTTGAAATCAACTCTTCGAGTGATATTTTACAGAGAGTGGAATTTATAGTATAAAACCAGAAGATACAAAGCCGTCATTTCCTGTATATTGTGACATGGAAGTAAGATACTTTTTTATAATTAACTAAAGTGAAAACAACTACTATTTCAATATATTGTCATAAACATAATCAGACAACTTATACTAAACAATACTGGTAATTTGCTATTGACGATAACACAAAAGTTGTTATGTACGATTAATATTAATAATAACAATTTTAGGATTCTGGAGGAGGATGGATTGTAATTCAGAGACGAGTAGACGGATCATTAGACTTTAATCGAACTTGGGAAGAATATGAGAATGGTAATCATCACTAAACATAAAGTTATAGATATAGTATAAAGAAATACGTGGAAACCAAACAACAACAAAAAATAAAAGATTAACGCAACGTTTCTATCACATTTCGACAATATCAAGTATATATATTAAGTACTTTAAGCAAGTATTTTTGTTGTTTCAAACATCCAGGATTTGGTAATATATCGTGTAATGGTGAATTCTGGCTTGGTAACAAATATCTGGCCAGCATTGGTCTTACTGGATACCAAAGGAGTAAAATCATCCTGACAGATTGGAGCGGAGAATATCGTGTTGCACAATATTCGTACTTTAAAGTCAATCAAGCAACTCATTGGTACACGTTGCAGATATCTGCTTTTCAGGAAGAAAATAGCAACGTCAGTGATGCAATGACGTAAGATTACATCGCGCTTTTGAATGAACTAGGAATCTATTATACCAAGAGATAATTAGAATTCTTTTCTTCAAATATTCAGATCTCATTTCAATCAAAATAATATGAGGTTTACGACTGCTGACCAAGATCACATCTACTCAGTTCTACCGACACAATGTCCAAGATCTCCTGGAGGATGGTGGTTCAATAAATGTAATTCAGCAAATTTAAACGGATATTATCACCAAGGTACAGGAGAATTTATAAACATACATTATTATCTCTTCTTGGAAATTGAAGTCCTATCATTTTAAATGAGGATAAGCAAGTATCATTTATTATAACTGATTCAATCTTTCATTTAAAAGAAAAAGGAATATGGTAATAAAGATTTTCAGTTTTCATCTGTCAAATTTTAAAATGAGTATATAAAAAATATTTTATTCAAAAATTTGCAAGAATTCCACCACAATTTTGTTGTTTAGGTTCATTTAGCCCATCAAGTCAGCCTGGTGGCATAGTGTGGACAACGTGGAAAGGACCAACTTATTCTTTGAAAGCAACAGAAATGAAGTTACGGCCTTATGGATATGACGGGGACTAAATCTTGCAGAAAAATTGTTTATTACATTCAGTATTTCAAATACCAAATTTATATATATGTTTTAGTATATATTGTAGACGCCTATATTTTATTATTATACAATTCGTACGTGTGATTAATTGTCTTTTAATACAAATTTGTATTCCATATTTCGTATGAACACGAAATGAAATGAGAAACACAATCCGAAGCTTATCAAAAGAGAGACAACCAATACTGATCTCACGAATACGATAGCTAGCAAAGCATTGTAACCTATGTAAAAGTGGATATCGTTCACAGTAATTAATTATCCGTATTATGTTATTACGTTTGTTTCGATAATAAACTTTCCATTGAGTTAATGTGGTTCCTATTTTGCCGTTTTGATAACTGATTGAGAAACATAACATTGAGAAACGAAGCAATGTGTGTGAGTTTCGCAATTCATCTTTCGAATGCAGTGTAGAATAGAGTAATTTCTATTCACGTCAATCAGTTCGAGGTAGACGAAAATAAATCGTAAGGATTGGACGGAAAATTTCAACTGGGTAAAAGAGTATCTGAAGAGCGGTGCTTTGACAATTGAAGTAAAAATTGCTAATAGGAACGAAAAAATATAGGGATAAAAAAAGTCGTCAAATCAAAAGGGATACTAACGAGATAAAGCAATAAAGTAAAAGATAAACAGATAAATAGCAGAAAATATAATATGAAAGTAAACCCAATAATTTCGATTTGCAGAATTCAATATGTATAATATGCACAACCAAGTTCTTATATGTAAATGACAAGTATTTATAAATTTTTAAGCAACCAAAGTACTCCTCGTTTTAAGTTTCTATAATTATATTTATGAGCGAGATTAAATATCAGAAGTGGGCTACATTAGCTTAACAAATTTCCCATAGAAGAACTTCTACAGAATCTAGATTTAACTGGACAATAAAGTTTCATAGTTTGGTAACCTGGTGCCTTGTTAAAACATTTGATGGAAGGCCTATAACTGCAATAAAATGTATTCTATAATACCGAAATAGCTTTTAGATTGGACATAGAATTGCAGTAAACAATGTAGGTGATGTTTTTAGCTTCACTGAGAATTTAGTCTTTTGTATGTTAGTACTACTTTCGCATTTAAAATCGCACATGTTGATTGAACATTCTATACTAAGTACCGCCGCAAAGCTGAATAATGTAATTATAAAGGGCAAATGATAACTCAATAAATAAATTCTGATAGGTATGTGTACATACCCTGGTGAAACGTGATTTGAGGACCGCAAAAACAAATATGGCAGTCCTGGTGGTATATAGTATGTTTCCTTTTGTGTCAAATACAAAATATTAGCTTTGTGGACTCGCTTTAGTATGTCAGCAGCATATCTTGCCCCAAAATGTTGAGATGGAGAGAACTTTACTTTCTACAAATCTTGTACTTGGCGCAGGTTGGTTGAACGTTATTGTAGTTGTATAAGGACTAGGGATTAGTGAAAATACGTTATGTATATACTTTCTTCATATTATTAAATACAGCACAAGAGAATGTGTTTAAAGGGAGAATAAAGTAGTATAAGGGGGTAGAAGCACTTAAAATTAAGACAGGTAAAATATAAAATGCTTCAAAATTGCAGATTTTGTTGAAGAATTTCTGCATAGCACAAGTCGACAACTTTGAGGAGTGCACAAATATAAAATGGGTAAAGTTGAAAACATTCTTAAATTTTCGTTCTCTGGATTTTCATGCTTAACCCTAAATGTCCTTTCTAAATAGATTTTAAATATTCAAGATAACAATAAGGGTACATTGTTCTTTGTTTCAGTAATGACGAGGACAATGTGTATTATCTTGTGGTAAAAATATAAATATTGATTTGAGATATGCAACGTCGAATAATCTAAGAAATTACGCAGCATGGCTGTAACCGAAATGAGATTTCAAAAGTATCGTCATGTCGCTGTAATATGTGAAGAATGCAACTTGTACGTGACCATATTTTTTGCAATAAAATATTCAATAAAAGACAAACTAAAAATTGTTTATTCATGTTCCAAAATTTATCAATTTCATGTAATAAACAACTTTCGAAGACAATATTTAAAATATTTCAAGGGTGAACTGTGTCCAACCGAAGAAAGGTTAAACTTCATATACCAAAGTGTCGACCATGATATAAGATCGGAATTTGAAAAGTTGCAGAATGAAATCAGTGACGCTGAAAATAGAAGGAATCATTTGTCAGAAAGAAATAGATTACCAAGAAAAGTTGATTTACGAGGTAAAGAGAAATGATCATTTCATAATGCATAATAGGTATTTAAGATTCATTTCCAATAGCGTAATATACCTTACGAATAAAATGATTGCCTTTGGATACAATATATTTAAAATTTACATCAAAATATTAGCATTTATAAGAGTATACTATACTTATTTGTATTTTAATTCTTTGTGTATAACAGAATCTCAAAAAATAACATTGTCAAAATATCACAGATTAAATTCAAGTCTTGCTACACAGGATTTTATATATATTTTTGGAACATCTCGTCATATTCAAAAAAAAAATTCTTCGCACAATCATTGTTTCAAGTCGATAGGTGAAAGATACTTGTCTGAAATGCTCCATAATTTATACATGTGGCTTAATACAGAAAAGATTGTTTTATAAACAGGGAAACTTTCTAGAGCCACTAACGTTATTATATTTTACCTCATTTTTAGAGCATGTTCGATCAGTGGCCGAGGATTCTCGCATTCTGGAAACTAAACTTTCTGATGTGCGACCTATCACAAATGGAGTTTCGTTTGTTTCCACTCAAGCAGATAATAACTTACATGCAGTAGACTCTCTCATAAGGAGGGCAGAGGTATATATAACGAGTTGTAACAGAAGTATAGTAAGAAATGCGATAAAGCGAGGCTTCCGTCATTTCAACTTGATTTTTATATTTTTTTTTTATGAATAAATCCACTGGCTATATTATCCCTTTAAAAATTTATTGCGAGGATAAAAAACCTAACCGAATCGCATTTTACAATCAACCGTGCCTAATTAGTTAACTATTACAAAATACTATGTCAGTTGGTTGATACTTTTGTTCAATAACACTCTTTTAAACAGTTGAAAATATCATCGTTGGAAAACGACTGCGCCAGAAACGCTTTACGTGAGCATGAACGTCGGGAACATGAAAACCATTGTTCATTCTCTACCATTACTGGTGAAGATTGTGCAGAAATCCATAGGAAAGGAGGTCGGAGAGACGGAGTATATTACATCCAACCAAAAGGAGTAACGAAACCAATACAGGTTTGATTGGGCTATAAGAATACTTCACAATGTCAAAGTAGAAAAGTCCCTTAATTTTTCATCCGCGCCTAAAATGTTTGACAGTATTAGTTAGTTAGTTCTGCGTTCGTTCACTAATACTATTATATAATTCAGGTATATTGTGATATGCAAGATAAAGGCGGTGGTTGGACCGTTATACAAAGACGCTTTGACGGAAGTCTTAACTTTGACCGAAATTGGGAAACATTCAAATGGGGATTTGGTCAACAAGTTTGTGACCAAGAAAGTGAATACTGGCTGGGAAACGAATTTATACATTTGTAAGTGCTTAAATCAATTTTTCACTATCCCATATTCACAAATTAAATGTGTAGTGTTCAAATGATATATTGTTTATAAAATTGTTTTCGAAAGGCTGACGACACAAAACGCCACGGAAATGAAGATCGATTTAACCTCATGGGATGACATTGAGAGATACGCCTTATATAGGTGATAAAATAAACATTTTTATAGTATTCCTTATCCGTAAATAGTGAAATGTATATCTATCAATCAGTTTCGTATCTAGGACGTGGCGTGCCATGGACGCCGTTTGGACAGGGGGGCAAATACGGCGAAAAGTTTTGATTGTAAAATGTTTCAATAAAATGATTTCAAATTAGGAATAATTTAAAACTCGTGTTTTTACTTAAATAATAACGTACAAGTATTTTAAGTATCAATTTAACAACTGTCGATGAAAATTGTCAGTCACTTATCAAGGGGGCGCATTTTTAAACTTTGCCATGGGCGCCATTTTACGTAGATACGCCACTGCTACCAATAGATATATATATATGTTGCAAATACATGAAATTAGTTTTAAAATAGGCCGCATTTCAACATCAAAATCGCCACAAATCATCATAATCTTAACAAACTATCCTACAATAAACTTACCAATTTGGATTTTTAAATTAATATGCTGTGTAATTAAACTTGAATTATTCACACAATTTTCATTGGCAAACATAGATTTTTCCACGTCGGAGATGAATCCACCAACTACAAATTAAGAGTCAATGGGTATTTCATGGATCCAAACGGTGGAGTCGGAGATGCTTTTGGTGGATCAGGAGTGTTTTGTGGAAATTTGTCAAGAGTTGACGAAGAACAAACTCAACATAAACTAATGTCATTCACAACAAAGGATAGAGACAATGACAAGCATACAGAAAATTGCGCAGGTATGACGTAATTGTTGGGAATTTTAAATTGAGGCAAACACACAAAAGTAAGCCTTCCTCTGATTACAAAGCAATCAATATAAATACAATTATTTCAAAAATATTGTAATATATTTGTTCAAGTCTGGTTTATTTTAATCTCGATTTCTTTGTAACATTATTCGTTTTTGTGTAGGAGATATAGTTCACGTCATAGAATATGAAGATTATTATTCATTTAATTGCGTTGGATTGCATTCAGAAGCTAAAATAAAATTTGATTAGTTGATTCGGATTCGATTTGGAAGAAAGTGTACAAGAATTATTGCAAAAGATGGAACTTTTTTATAGTGTAGTCCATCAAGGATCACATTTAATCCCAAACTGTTTCTTTTACTAAGCTATCTTTTTTGTTTTACGAAATACATATAACTTCATTTTGTTGCCTTCGTAGCTAACTCTCGTGGAGGATGGTGGTATAACCAATGTGTATCAGCTAATCTCAATGGTCAAAGAGGAAGCGCAGACGAACTGCCTCATCTTGTCAATGGGGGTAAACTGTGATTTTTTTGCCTATTTAAAAAGTTGAATAGTCACCATAATGAATTGATTGATTAACATTGCAATTGTGGGAATCTGGTGAGGTCGTAAATTGGATCATTGTATGTTATTTTGCTAGTTTAGTGCACCAAACATCAATGACGATACATTGTGTTTGTTATTGTGTTGATATTCTATAAGCTATTGGTCATAAAACAAATATTTTGCAGACACTGACGGCATGGTTTGGGTAACCTGGAAAGGTTGCTGGGAATCCTTGAAGGCGTCGAAAATAAAGATTCGTCCGTTCGGATTTAGCCCAGATGACGCACCAATAAGACCAACGGATGCGGAAATACGTCGACTCCTGTTAAATCGATCAAGAATAGCTAGAAGACTCCTTCGTAGGAGATGGAAACGCAATCCTGAGAAGATATACGAATTGGCAAAAGCATTAGGTCTACGAAGATAAATTCTAACGAATACTAGTGCTTCATATCAAAGCAATTTTTCAGAATAAATTTCTTGGTAATCTGTGTCTGTGTAAATAAGTATATATCAGTTACTACTGGTATGATGTCATTTGTTTCTATTTCTGAAACCACCGTTGAACCTTTTAACAAACGTAATGTTTTGGTGTAAAAGTTTGACTTTATAAACTACCTCCGAGATAACATATTATTCTCAAAAGTAGTTAGCGGTGGAAATTTTTTAATATTTCTTATATTAAGTTGAAAGAGATGCTGCGTATTTTGTAAATTTTGAATAAAAAATACCAAATATCTTTATATATTTATTTTAACTGGTAAGTGTAGATGAGTCGAAATCAATGTTGCTCAAAAATAATAAGACAGTAAACATGATTTATAATGCCTCGTCGATAGGACATACGCAAATTATCTTCAGTGTGTCTAATGAATAGACGTTTATTTGCGGATGTATTTGATTCAAACTGTACAAGAGGTTGCAATGCTGTAGGACATGGCGAAAAGTCAAGTCTAGGATATGTAGGCTTACCATATGTCTCGGTTTAGCTTAGCCTTGACAGTCCCAGTTTAAGCAAGTATGAACCATACGTTAATTTATCATTATCACCCAACTGTGTTGTCGTTAAATCATCAAAATGCCTAAATCAAATGCTTGGGAAATATGGTGAGCCTATGTAATAAGCTGCTTGGTATTGAATGATGTCAGCATTGACTGCGCCCTAACCCTTGCGGCTTCTACATCGAACACGGTCACACACTCATATATAGCCTGCAAAGTGACTACTTGGTTAGATTACCACAAAACACTAGGTGAATTGCTGAATTTTGATTGTATAATGTAAACAGCAATATCTGTCTTATGTCGATATCAAATTTATAAATATAGAATAATTGAAAAACTGGAAACTGTTTGAAGGCAAACATACGAAACAAGATACTTCAGATTCCTCAGATAACGACCTTTGTGAGCAATAAATATTTGCAAGCTTTTAACCCCCCGCAGAACAGATTTCAAACAAGCCCGCCCTCGCACATAACTGGGAGTATGTATAAACAATGAGGCTATAGTCGTGCCGTTACCTTTAAGTCTTCTTTTTACAAATGTTGTTGATCACGTATGGGGGCATTGAGTTTATTTACTTTTGTAAATATATTATAAGGAAAGCGAGACACTAGAGAGGAAACCGTACGTTGTATCATATATAGTCAGTTTTTAGAAGAATTATGGTAAAATCATCATCAATAATATGCCTTTAAAAAGATGTTTGATCGTCGTTTTGTTAGTTTTTGGAGAAACGGTAAGTTTGTTAATTTCTGCAAAATATATAATTTGTATATAGAATATTAATCTGCTACGCCAAATCACGATAAACTAATTGCTGGGCTACCTAGAGCAAGTCTGGGATTTATGCTATCGAAAATATTGATGTCTTGAACCTTGCATGTGATAGTGACTATGTGATTTTAAATTCATCATTTTCAATTTCCGATACCACATTTGAAAAAAAATATTTCTGTAGGTAAGAAAATCGGTGGAAAATTCTTGTGAAATTGCAGGCAGGTTAGAAATATCTCAAGGACAAATTAATGTAGAACTTGAGGAAATTTCCGAAAGAGTGAAGCGATTGCTCGCGCTTTCTCACCAACGTAGTGATGACAAACAATACGTGCAAACGGAAGACAAAGAGAGATATTTGGGTAGGTTTCACACTTACATTAAAATAAAAAATAAACGACCCGTTGGTCCATTTCGTGTCCAAAAACGATAAATAAAATACAGTTATGCGCGAATAAGTTACGTGAAATCATTTTGCGAGCCAAATACCACAGTATATTGGTAGATCGTGACCGGTGATCGTGATCCGGCATTCCTAATATTTGGTTCGAGATTGTGAGATATACTTCATGTTAAATAAACTTGTTATACTTATTGACACAATTATACACATTATCAAAAAAATCTTATGAGTGTAAAATTTTGGAAAGCAAATAATGGGACACCACCAGAATAGGGATCTTTAAAATATAACTTGAACTTATTTCCATTTAAGATCAACTTGAAGACGGAAGTCGACGTTTTCTCGAAATTCAAGAACAAGCAGAGCAGCTTATTACCGAGGCGAAAGCAAATCAAGACAAGTTATTCGCTCTGATTCGCAGAAAAGATGAAAACCAGCGAAAAATACAGATTATCAGGGAAAAATTAAAACGACTACACGGTGTCTGCTCGGAGGAAGAAGTAATGAAATGTCCGAGTGATATCATCGGGGAAGGTACCAGACCTTTTGCACCCCCTATGGATAATAACTACTTACTTAGAATATGTGTCTGGTTTCTGGTCTAGCGTAGCCTACATTCATACAAAATGTCATAAAATTATGTTATCAGCTATTCTATTATTGCAACAGTGTCAATTACTTCTATCAGATTGTTCAGACGTATTTGACAAAGGAGGACGAAGAAGCGGAATATATTTCATCCAACCAAGTAGAAACTTTACACCCTTTCCAGCCTATTGTGATCAGGAGGTTGAGTTCCCTTTAATTGATTGTCAATGTTTTTAAAGTAAACAATGAGCTACTAATCATCTAGATTAGGAAAAAGGCGAAACATATATTAGAATTGTTTATCCAGTAAAGTTCAGCAACATCATAATAATATGTATTTGCAGACTGACGGTGGTGGTTGGACATACATTCACAGTCACATCAATGATGATTTTGATTTTAACCGAAGTTGGTTGTCGTATAAACATGGATTCGGTGACGTATCCTGTGATGGAAAAAGTAATTTTTGGATTGGAAATGAAGCGCTGCACGTGATGACGTCATTAAGAAACTACCACTTGAGAGCTGACGTCATGGACTGGAGTGATAACGAAGGGTAAGTAGCCAGGTGCGCATCTGGTATACTCGTAAGGAAAGTTAATAAACAAAATAACTTTAGATATGCCTCCTACTCATCATTTCATGTTGAACCGGAAGAAATGGATTATCAATTACGAATCAGTGGTTACGAAGCAGCGGAAGATCCAGATATGAGAATCGGTGATGCTTTTAAGGGTCATAACTTTGGTTACCCAGATGACGAATCGTCTACGAAACATGATGGAATGAAATTTAGCACTTTTGACAGAGATAATGATCGCTATCAGTGTATGTAAAATAAAGCTAGTTGCATATTTGGCAAGTTTGATCTTGGTAACAACCACTTAACTTATGCTATTTTCATTTACTTTAGACAATTGTGCAAGTCAGGATGGAGGTGGTTGGTGGTTCAACAGATGCTCGGCAGTCAATCTCAATGGTCGTGTGTACCGAAATGGATTTTATAAGTAAGCATATTCGATCTAAATACAACTATATGAACCTTAGCTGTGAGTAAAGGACGACATAGGGAGTTCACAGTATTGCTAGATTTTTACATCGTTAGGATTACTATAAATAATAAAATTATTCTTATAAAAAGCAATACAAGAAGTCGGTTTAAATAGCAACTATCAAAGTAGGTGATTGCAACTTTCAAAAATAATATTATTGCGTATCTAATTGTTCTCTTCATAAATTACGCTTCAGAGCCGCTAATACACTGTACGGTTTTGATAATGGAATGATCTGGGGACCATGGACGGGACTTTGGTATGCATTGAAATCATCAAGTATGAGGATACGGCCAGCGTTTCTAAACAATGAAAAATGAAGTGATAGAAACTAATCAGCGGATGAAATGAAGTGAAGATGAAGTGTAGGCTGCTTAATCTACCACAAGAAGACTGTTTTCATACGTCTTAATGTTGCTATGCTGTTGATTAGACATAAAGTTTACAAATGGATCGTTTCACAAAATAGTTGTTGTTTGTTTTTTCGTTTTCGGGAAACAAATCAACTTTTTCCGCATAACAAACCAATCGACGTCAAATTTTAACAATTGAAGGCGATTGAAGCCTCTAGCTACAAGACTATTACTTTTATTATTTTATTTTACTCATAATTAGTTTTATTTTAAATAAAAAAGGCATTTTTTCATTGCGCTACGCTTGACCGCCTCTGTCACGCATGGTCCCAGCAAATCTAGTGTTCAGTACTGTATAGTGTTGAGCAAACAAAATTCGGCGCATGTTCACTAAATGCCGTAGGCGTAGGTACTTCTAGTCGGCGTGGCGAAGACATCTTTGCATATAGTATTCCTAACCCCACCTGTCTACGTCATCCGAAAATTACGTCACAACCCGTCATGGAGCTTGCCAAAGAAAAGCTGCGACCGCCCGAAATGGCATCTCCGCCGACGATAACGAACTCGCTAACGCCAGCGATCTCTCTCCTATGGGGACCGTTACGACGAGAAAACCACAGAAACAGCTTGCTTGATTTCGGGTGATCGTCTGCGCGTTTCAGACGACAATCCGCATACTTTATCGGGCCTTATTTCGTCACTGTGACGTTGTAGTGACGTAATTTTTGGATGACGTAGTCAGGTGGGGGTTAGAAATGAGATATCCGAAAATGGTTATGCCAAGCCAACTAGAAGGACTCGACGGCGTTTAGTGAACTAGGCCCCGAAATTCAGAACTCCCAAGAAACAAGACTCCGGCGGGGTTTTCAACGAACATGATCGGATCAGAAGTGGGAATATTCTCGGTTGCCAGGAGTCTCAACTAAATCTATAATATTCGATATCTCTTTGAAATGACTGTTCAGATTTTAGAATAACAGATAGAAGTACTGTGCATAGGACGGACTTCAATTATCCGTACATAAATATTAAAACATACGACAATCGTGTCTCGTTAGGATAAGATGAACCGATAAGATGATTGGGCGATTCGTGTATTCCTGACTAGACAATCCTGAACTGGTTGTTTTGTAATTTTTACCAGTGTTTGGGTTGTAGCGATTAACTCATATATATATATATATATATCTGTTTGTGTCATGAATCGGTCATGGATTGCGCATTTGCACTTATTGAGATTTTAAAGCCGACCTTGGGATTTTTGTAATGGCGATATCTTAATTAAAAATAATCTTCAGTGCTGAAAGAACAACTCAAATTTGAGAATCGCAAAAATCATCATCGTTAAATTATATATTTACGGTTGAATTATAAGACATTTTAGATGCTCGCATCGGCCGTGTATTGAATATCTCACGCGACAGAAAACTCGTTATCCGCTGAAATAGTTTTTTACGATTTTAATTTTTGGTTGGTTGCCTTTTTTTCATAGTTTTCAAGAATCGGATGAATGCATTTTTCAATCATACTGTGTGGCATCAATCACTCCAAATAAAAAAAATTCGAATGAAACTTTAGTCCTAAAATAAGGACTATAACTAATTTCTAATCTCTAATGTGATCCCTGACTATAATGCATGAATGCCACATAGTTTCTGCAATGTTTGAATGCGGTGCTACTTCGTTTTCTCAGTGTTTTGATGTGGCTGGCAGAAAACCTGATAATATATTATATATAGGTGCCACTTGACCACACAATGTAATTTCGATGTTTTATTGGACATAATGATGGATGTAAGCAGGTGTACGCAATACCGCAGACTTTGCAAAGTTTAGATGCGGTTGTGGTCAACACTACATGACATAGTCCCCATGTAGTTTTAGTTTCAGCTATGTTTAAATGTGAGTTTGGGAAACATGTTAGAAGTGTTCAGATGTGGATGTGATAAACATAAAATACATCAGCGCAGCACGTTTTTGGTGTTGCTGCTGTAGTGAACATTAAACATGTCGAAAAAATGGATTTGTCAACAGATGTCATGGTTTTCCTTGTTTGGAGACTGATTCTGAGTTCAAATTTTGATTTCGGATCAGGGCGGATTCGGAGTCTAAAAATTTTGATTTCGCTTATTTCAGGTGTTCAGCATAGACAGTGTCGTCACGCCTTACTGTGCCTGTGCGATTCAAATCCATCTTATTTTTCCCCTCCGTCATCTGGTTGTAAAAATATCGCTTTTCTCATTGATACTGAACTAATTGCTTCGAAGTTTTCATTGGATCGCTGCTGTCGCTAAATGCTATTAATTTTATTTATCTCAAAAACATCTGTAGGCTGTAGCTGTATAGGAAATGTTTTTCATTTCGACGTTTTGCGCGGTGACGTCAAATAATGAAACATTACTTATATATAGTACCACGATAGCATATACCCGATCATCATTATCTTGGCCAACGAGCACGGAAGCGGAAGATAGGCTACCGGTATTGTAAAAGACTTGATTTTAAATCTGTGACTTGAGTCATTTGGTATTCCGATCCACGTTGGAAATAGACACGTGATCATCATAGTCACAGAATCCGGGACAGCCAGGACGGTACGGGCAACCTGATATTGGAAGGTTACGGTACCTGTTCCACAGTTCCAGCCTCGTTTAGGATATGGTTTTTGAGGGAACGGTCCATGTCAAAAAGGTACATGTCTTTAATATCATAATGCTTATAGGATAGGATTTTACATATTTACCGCGGGGGAGAGGAAAACCGATAAGACGGCTTAACCATATGGCGGAGTACGGCCTCTCGTCCGGTTACCATTCCATGTCGGGTATGGGATTATGTAGTTACTTGTTTTCGGAAGCATGGACTTGATTGTAGTGGAAGCCGTAACCGACCAGCGGTTAGGTGGTTCACCCTACGACGGCTCTCTCCTCTCGCACATAACCATCCCCGCATGGGATCCGAACCCACGCAAAGTAATTAGAGGTGCGGTGGCGAGCGTATTCTTTCAACGCTTAGCATGAGCCACACTGCCGCGCCAAAAGTTTTCCTTATAAATTTTGATATTCTAGTTAAAAATTACAACTTATAGTCGGGAGTATCGATGTTTTTCTCAGCCCGTAATAGGACACAACATTTTCTAGCTTAATTAGATAGTCTATTGCTATTTTTCAGCTACTTCAAATCCCCACAAAGCAATGAAAAAGTGTGGTGACAAGACTATTCCAAACGACTGCGATGACGCGCTCACACGGGATTCATTTCAATAAGTATTTCTAGATACGACATATTCTTGCCGTTATCCTCTCCCGCTCTTGCGTAGAGATTAAAATATCAGAAGGGAATCCGGTAAAAGCAAAACTATGTATTTTTGTATTAGAGTTGGAAGCTACATGCTAGTTAACAGTGGTTCTTAAACTTTTTCGAGCGCGACCCAAATCTGAGTTTTATGAATACTCGCGACCCAATCCTAAATACCGCAAAATGTGTTTGTATTGTTAGTACAGATTGACTCAAATACAGACAACTATTTATTAGAAACAGTCCATTGACTCAGTGAGATTGATGAAACTGAAATTTCCTTTTCATTATATCTTCAATACACAGCTCTATTTTACTTAACGCAATACGCAAGTTGTCACGGGTATCGAGGCGATTGCGAGCTTAGTTTTGATAACCGTCAGTGCCAAATATCCTCGCTCGCACAAGTGCCTTGTCGCGAATTGTAGCAGAAAAGGCGTCCGCTGTCCGTCGCAAACACGACATCCTAGCTGGCCTTCGGTATCTCTCGCAATATACAACTTTTTACTCATCAAATGTGCACACACTGCTTCGTTCGCGGTAAATGGTGCCTCGAGATGAAGTCACATTTTCTCTAGATATTGAATAATCTAATGTCGAGAAGCGAGCTTTTTTATTGCTTCGTCTATTACAATTTACATTACCAAAAAGACACCCATTTTTGGTTATTTTAATCCACTAAGACGACATTCCACGCGGTCAACACAACGACAAGCGACGTGCATGGTTACCGATACCATAAAAATAATACACGTGACTGGCATATCAGAATTGTGATGTAACAATGAGCTCAAGACAGTTCTTTCCGTGAATGAAATTTTATATTTCATTATTTGCAAATACCCCAGAGTTTAAAAGCTAAATTGAAACATTGGGAAAGCTGAAAATTCGTCCTTCTCCTCTTAGATTGCCCTTGCATTGACGACCTTGTCGCGACCCATTTTTAGACCTTCCGCGACCCATGTTTGGGTCGCGACCCATACTTTAAGAACCACTGTGCTAGAGTCTCTGGAAAGGTATCACGGATTCCGAATGTTTGAGAAGTAGTGCTCTAAAAAAATTCTCTTTTTTTGATTGTTTTATTTTTTATATCTCGGGAGAGCATCTAGGTCGCATAACGCCTTTAACTGCCTAATTTAAATATCAGATGGTTGATGCGGCGGCGGTCCAGAAGTGTGTGTACCAATATGAAGGTAACAAATTTTGTTCGCCTAGTTTACATCAAGTTGTGTAAAGATACTGAAGCCTATGAGAAGGAGATATATTTACTATTTTATCGATATACATACGATAAAATATCAGGAGATGGAATATTTTGCAGGCATTTCTATACCTTCCAACCCACATAACAAATTCTCGGCAGCTAGAGTAGCCATTTTCGTTCGGGTTTGCAACGAGGCACTTGCAATATGCGGCGTTATCACTGTAGAAATAAAACAGTAGGTCAGAGAACAGCAAAGGATTTTTTTATGGTACTGAAGTATCTAGTCATTTTATTATTTCGCTATTTTAACTAATTCAGTAATGGTAAACTTGAAATTTCCAACGCAAACAAAACAATACGGTTATAGAGTTCTAGCGTGTACGAGGCGGATCGTGTTGTTTGCGTTTGAACTTCTAAGTTTGCCTCCACTTTCATTAAACGGAATACTTTTGAAGAAATAATAATGATAAAACAACGAAATGCTTCCCATTCACCAACGAAATATGCAATCATCGCGATGGCGACTCGCGAATTGTCTCTAGATCTATTTCCGCATTCGAGGGTGCGTGTGTATGGCACAGTAAGAAATGCCGCCCAAAAATCATATTAAATGTAACATAACTGACTCACACATGAAGATAAAAAATTGTTTCTATATCTGTCCTAAAATGAAAGCCAAAGTTAATATAGTTTGGCGCGGCGGTGTGGCTCAACGGGCTAAGAGTTAAGTATACGCTCGCCACCGCACCTCTGATTACTCTGCGTGGATTCGCAGCTTCGAATCCCATGCAGGGATGGTTATGTGCGAAAGGATTGCTGGACTCCTCGCCGTCGTTGGGTGGTTCACGTAACCGCTGGTCGGTTACGGCTTCCTCCACCACCAAGTCAATGCTTCCGAAAACAAACAATATAACTTACCCCATACCTGACTTGGCATGGTAACCAGACGAGAGGCCGTGGTTCGCCATATGGATAAGCCATCTTATCGGCTTTCCTCTCCCCCGGGATAAATATGTAAATCCTATCCTAGTATTAACCATAGGCAGATCGGTTGAAGCCAGCCTAGAACTCAAAACAATATCTAGCAATCATAGCAATCTAAAACGGTTTCAACAATTAATTCATAACATACCACAGTTGTTTAATTTAAAAAGTGCATTATCAACAGGTAGAGGTTCCGGATTTGTTACATCAATTCCAGCAGCTGCGATTTTATTGGACGACAAGGCTTCATACAAAGCATCTTGATCAACAATACCACCCCTGTATGAACATGGGAAACAAAATGTAATGAAATAACAGCTCAAATATAGGCTTAAATCACATATTGAATAACTCTGATTGTAAAGTGAACAATTAACATATGGCGAATCTCTGCATCTCATCCGGTTACCAGTCCATATCAAATATGGGATTAGTTAGCCAGTCATTTGTTTCATATGCATGGACTTGATGGCGGAGGAAGTTATAACCGACCAGCAATTGGTTATGTGAACCACCATACGGCGGCTGAGTCCAGCAAACCTTTCACACATAATAATCCCAGGATTCAAACCTGCGAAGTGCGAACCCACACAAGGTAATCAGAGGCGCGGTGCGAATGTATTCCTGACACTCAGAATGATGCACCACACAACCAACCAATTATAACATAACATCAGAATCTATTGATATGTTGTGCATGGAATCATGTAAAGAATCCATGGTACATGGAGGGTTAGCTATACATGCAAATAATGGGGTTACAGTTTTTAAAATATACATAGTAAAGAGGAATAAATGAGTTTCAAAATAGACAAAGTGCTTTACAATAACAGCTCACAAATTCAAGTGCAGGATTTTTATTAGGATTTTCATATTTATCCCAGAGGGTAATGTCAATAAAACAGCTTAATCATATGGCGAACCATTGCCTTTCTTCCGGTTACCAGTCCATATCGAATATGGGATATATTAGCCAGTTATTCGCTTCAAATGCATGGGCTTGATTATTAAACAATGAAGTATTTTAATATGAAGAGCTCTAGAGTTTCAGGGAGTGCTTGTGATCCATTGTTAAATACCTTGGGCCTATAAAATTTCATCACTTTTTAGCTCACACAATACCATCACAGATTCACAATACAATCAGTTCAAAACTCTCACTTTTATAGTGTACCGGAATAAAATCACAAAAAGACATGTTTACCTGGCTGTATTTATAAAGATCGCAGTCCTTTTCATTTTATTAAAAGCTTCTCTGTTAAATAGATTTGTTGATTCTGGAGTCAAAGCACATAAGCAGAGCACAAAGTCACTTCTTTTCAAAAGGTCATCTAGAGTAGCTGTGTTAAAATTTTATCAAACAATAATTGTGTCATCCATCGAAGAAACAAATAAACATTTACTGGGACCAGGAAAGCAATTTTCCACATACACTAAACGATGGCTACCGGTGCCAGATATCCAGGATGTAAATCTCTAAGTTTGGAGAAGAACTTGAGTAGGCCAAAGTTCAGTGTTGTTAACCAGTGGACAGAATATGAGCGTAAAAAAAAATTTGTAGGCAATTTTTGTACAATAAAACCCTAGTTACCATATTCGACTGAAAGTTCGTTTTCCTCTTCTATTGACCTTCGTTTAGTATTATTATACAAAAACTTTTTTGGTCCAAAAGGTCTGAGTCTCTCCAGCGTTGCGATTCCAATTCTACCCAAACCAACTATACCGACAGTACCTCCCAATAAAGATGGACCACATAACCATGTAGGCTTCCAAGTTCCCCAGCCTCCACTAAATATGGAAAAGAGACAAGTGAATAAAGTTGGCTAATAAGTATTTATTGTGAGGCAAGCTTTTAACTTAGTATATTTCAATACAGGAATGACCTTAGTGCACCGTTAGCACTATTGATTTTATAATTTTACAGAAATCAATCCCCACAAGCTGTCTAGATTATGTTTTTGAGTATATACAGACAGTGCTCACGCTCACCATGGTATAAGATTTTCATATACATCCTGTAGGAGGAGGATGTATAAGTACAAATAATTGAGAAAGCAAAAAACCTATAATTCAAATTTGATTTCATACACTATTGGCAGTGTACCAAGTAACCTTAATTCCCAACGATACTTTAAAGCAAAAAAAAGTAAAAATCCTCTATATTCCGCAAGAATAGACAAATTCAATTAAGGTTTCAGTATGCTCACATATACTGACCTCTGCGCTTCTCGTGTTGCTTCAACAATTCTACGAGATGTTGCAAGCAATAATGCTAAAGTAAATTCTGCCTATGACAAAATTAAAAAGCATTCATTAAAATAATTCAATTTTTGACATACGAAAGAATGAGAGATCTTCATATTGCAGCAAGTCTCAAAATTTCTATTTTACCGTTGCCGCTGTTAAAACATCTGGAGTATATCCAATATTTATATTTCTTCTGGCACATTCACGTAAATCTATGTGATCAACACCAACAGACATAGTGCTTACTACTTTCAATGATGGACCTGATGATAAAAATTTTGATAAAAAAAGTTAAGCTCTATAAAACCATATCAAAAACCATTGTGAATTATCATCCCATATCAACTCCTTGAAGACTAACTACACATAAAATAACAGATTAAAATATTCAGCCATTGAAAGTGAATAGCACTTATGAATAGAACAGTATGAAAAAATTTCTAACAAATTGAAATTAACAAGTGCAAACTTAATATTTTCCCTTTAGCGCTTTTCTAGCTGACTTTAATATATCCCACCAAATCTCAATTAAACAACAATATTTCTTGGACAAATCATCTTCTATGTTACCTGCAGCATCAAGTGTTGCACTGCCAATTTTATCAGTAAGAAGACAAAATAATCCATCAACTCCTTCTATTCGTTTATGCAATGTTTGGTTAGGGATGCATTCATCACTGTCCCAGATATCAATATTGCATCTGAATAAGCACAATATTAGCCAAGCTAAAAAAATATTAAGACTGACTTCTGATAGCAAAGAAGTCTAGATATCGTCCGGCCGTACATGGTTACTACTGTCAGGATAATTGAAATAAATATCAGCCATCAAAAAAACTGAAAACATGACTGGATAGGATTTACATATTTATCCCGGGGGAGAGGAAAGCCGATAAGACGGCTTATCCATATGGCAAACCACGGTATCTTGCCCGGTTACCATTCCAAGTCGGGTATAGGATTAGATTTACTGTATTGTTTGTTTTCGGAAGCATGGACTTGGTGGTGGAGGAAGCCGTAACAGACCAGCGTTTGCGTGAACCACCCAAGGACGGCGAGGAGTCCAGCAATCCTCTTGCACATAACCATCCCTGCATGGGATTCGAACCTGCGAACCCACGCAGAGTAGTTAGAGGTGCGGTGGCGAGCGTATTCCTAACGCTTAGCCCGTTGAGCCACACCGCCGCGCCAAAGCTGCAAGAAGATGTTTGTTAACTATGCCGAGGCTACGAATTTAGCAATACACTAAAACACGTAAAATACCTACTTGGTAGCAAGAATATCGATGGCTTCTCTCGGTATTCTCCGTGTAACAAGAATTCTAAAAACCGTGGAGGACATTCCAACGTCGAAGAGGTACCGGTACCGTCCTGTGCGTTAATCCCAAACACAAAAAGCAGAAGTCCACAAGACTGCAAAAATGCAGAAAAGCGGAGTCTAAAACACAATATTATAAAACCGCTCGACGTATTATTACCGGTATTACATATATTTACGATTACCGATTAAATTTTGTTGACAATATTCGTCATATTAGCAACGCAAACTTGACAAACCCATTTTAATATGAACATTCAATAATACCTATATTCGGATATGCAAACAATTCAACTTTTACCCAGTGCACTTTCTCTAACTTGCACAGCAGGTTGGGGAAAGTGGGGAAGGTTGAGATATTTTTTTTACTTTCGCATAATTTGAGCCATTTATTCTGCACAATCATTTCACTATGCAGGATTATTTCAGAGAGCGGTAAATGTAGTTTTTATTCAGCGGCGAAGAAATTCCCTTGCGACACACATCTTAACACCAAAATGCTTTAAAAAACGTTTGTCAAGTGTCCCACTGTACCCCACTAGTGGGGCACATTCGGACAGAACCTAGGGCACAATGGGTCATTCTGTTAAATTCAACGAGTTATTCCCTTAAAAATAAGCAAATAATAAGCATTATCATCTAAAGAACAGGGAGACTACAGATTTTAAGATTCAATATTTTTTAAATCAATGTCCATCCAAAATATTTCAGATATTTTTTCAAAAAATTCCGTAAACAAATTGAATTATTTTCTTTTTCAAATCTGAATTTAGAAATACTTTTGATTCTCGAATATATTTCATATTGGGCCATGGGGCGAAAGATACCAAAATATTACACAAAAGATAACGCATCTCAATGAGCATATATATGCTCATTGCGCATCCCTAGGCCTCTGAGTACTCAATGGATCAAACACTGCCGAATTGTGCCCAGTGGCATGTCCCACTGAACCGCGATCCACTGTTTCCCATGGGAAACAAATATTTTTAAAATGTCCCATGGCGAAATTATGAAGGTACATCCACTCGCCAACGTTATAAATATTTTACAGTGGAGTGAAGCTGAAAAATATCAGATGGTGGTTTGTCACGTTGGAAAGGCTAAAGTAGAAAAAAGAAAAAAAAATGAAATGGTGAAATGTTAGTTTTTACCTCCCAAAATCAATTTCACCTCATAGCTTGTGTCGCTTTACACGGCTGTTGTCCGTTTGCGGGGACGTTGTAACCATTGAGGTGTATATAACCTATATAACCTAGGTCCCAGGTTATATACACCTCACAATGGTCGTAACTCACCTAAGAGCGGATTCAAACATCGAACCGCAGACGTGATTCCGGATAAAGTACGAGTGTGAGAGCTGATTTTTCACTGTGCCACATGTCCCAACGTTTTTCATGTCCCTTTTCTAATTATGGGCGATTCCTCACGTTTTATAAACCGTGGAAATCTTACTTAATACCTATGTAGGTTTTTTTTTTAAAAAACATTGTGCATGTTGTTGCAAATGTGCTATGCTAAACATAAACAAATCTTTGCGTCGCACCCCTTCCCCCATGAAGCATTGACTCGTTTTCCGTTTAGTCCACTATATTTTTTTTTAGTTATGTATCAAAATATTATCCCTAAATCAAATAGCACGACAATCAATTTGTTCCCGGAAAGTTCAGTTCAATCACGATACAGCGTCGAAAAGCTGAGGTATAATAAACTTATAGTATTATATTTATAATATATTGAAGTTAGCTACCGGTAGTAGTCATATTCAAGTTATTTTCTTCCATCCAGTAAAAAATAACACACGAAATTGACAGAATACAAAATTGAAAACATCTTTTTATCGGGGAAGGGAAGTCGCGGGGAACCAGGATTGGTTATCGAGCAGCGACACCCGAGGTTCAATATCTTATTTAATTTCTAAGGTCGGAAATTTAGAACACTCTTAATATAGATTATAAACGAGCATGGCTTTGGCAGCTGAACCACATACAGCATCCAATGAACATGAAAGTTATACGAGACGACCAAAAAAGGTACATGGCAAGTGGAAACATCTCGAATCGAACCCACCAGATAACTTCTGGCGATTCCCCAATTGACAGGCACTGAAGTGTGTACTTTCACTTAGACTTTAGACCTAGTACTTTTTATTAGAACGTGATTAAATGTGTGTACAATTACAAAAACTAGTTTCGGCCTATTTTGACCTTGATTATCAATATAACAAATCTGAAACTAGAACTACGACCCTGGAGAATGTCGACTCCGGCCCCAATGGCAAAATTTTGCTCCATTTCAATCAAGGTTTTTTTCCGTAACCACTGGCCGGTTACAGCTTCATCCACCGTTAAGTCAGTGTATCTGGAACGAATATTTGGTTAAATCTCATACCCGACATGAACTGGTGATGGGACGAAATGCCGGCGTTCATCATATGGTTAAGTAATCTAATCGTATTTCTTCTCTCGGAATAAATATGGAAACCCCCGCAAACGGAAATGTTTTACCGGGTACCACAACCGCACACTCCGTTGTTCGTTACATGATTGATCGTTTTATGGACAAAGCTAAATAACTAGCGATGACCTTTTTAAGCCCCCCGGTAATTATATTGAAGGAAACCTCAATAAAACTTACACTAAACCCATTCTACACCATTCAACTTCTCCACACTTTGTGCTAGTCAGCTAGTGTCTGTCATTCTGATGCAACTATATATACCGGTTCCATTACATTTGAACCCACGTACATTTGAACCCATGACAATTGCACCTGTATGCTATTGCACCTATGGAATTTTTTTTGTTTCACGGATAGTTAAACCCATACTAACCCTAACCCATGGGTAGCACCCGCATATAGCTTGAACCCGTGGATATACGCATGGGTTCAAATGTACATAGGTTCAAATGTACGGTCACCATATATACCGTATATACTTTAGATTCATGTTGAATACAACAACATATTCTAATTTATTTGGAGAAATAATATCTCGTGAATATATGAGTTTCATTTATTTATTACAATCCACAATATGATTAAATTCTTGATTTTAATGGCCGATTATATATATCTTGTCCGTGATGCTGAATCATCCTCACACTCCCTGAAAAAAAGGCATGAACAAACTGAAAGAGGTGTCTCAAAAATGTCCACTTTTTTATCACGTGTTCCGATTGCATAAACTTCTGGGTATATCCTGTTGGCGTGTGATGTGGTTGGTACCGGTACCAGAATTGCCATATTGGCTTTTTCAACGTCAAATTTGCCATTTTTGGCTTTTTTTCAAACGCGTTTGGCGTCAGAATTTCCGTTTGACTTTTTGGCGTTTTTTTGGATTTTTCAAGTCTATTCTAGTGTCTATTATTAAAATCATATGAAATACAATATTTAGTGTGTAGTTTGTAAAATCTGATAAATCATGGGGATTTGTACTTAGTAAAATTGTTGGCTTTTTCTGGCTTTTTTTATGTCTTGATTTGGCTTTTTTTGATCGCTGGGGTCTGGCAACCCTGACCGGTACAGTGTGGTTGGTTTTCGGTTGGATTTTGGTCACGAGTGTCAGTGGGAGTGCCTCTGGTCTCCGGTGAGTTATAAGAGATGTTTGTTTGTGGTTTTGTGACTGCGGGATGGGTATTTGTTGGATGTTTTTATGCTAGACAGTAGACTGATATTATTGTTTCAGTACAGTGCCATTGCAGTTATTTTAGCGTTGTATTTTTGGTTGTCGTCAGGGAATTAGCTATCATCAGTACTGCTCAAAGTGTTTTTATTGTGTACATTCTGTTTTCTTGCATTGTGCTGCCTGGTACTTGCCATTTTATTGTATGCTTGTCCTTTTTGTTTTGGGAGTATTTGGTTGTGTTGAGATTGTTAATTAATGAATAGAACAAAATAGTATAAATTGAAGTGAATATTGAGAGGAAACTTGACGTCAGACCATATTGGAAGATATTCTGAACTTGGATAATTATTTCATAGACTGCCGGTACGCTACACAATTATAAAGTTCTCATTGGGATTCTAGTTCAACCATTTAATACGAGAGTGTTCGACGGGAAGCGTGTTAAAGAGCGTAGAGGTTCGGCAAGGGTCAAGAACTACTATTCTCAAAGTGCTCCATACGGAGTACCGGGGTTCTGTGAAAGAATCCTGGGAATTATTAATGCATTGATAAAATTCGACAACGATAACGCCAGAATGTGGCAACAAGGCGGCAATTTAAATATGACATTATCTTCCAGTTCCAATAGAAATTGGCATATTAAAATTACAGCCTTGTTTAATGTTTTTGTCAAGGGTATATTTTCTAAGTAAAGACCAGGAAATGCACCCATCGCATACGTCATTAAATAAAGTAATTTACCCAGGAACATTAATCGCTAAGTAACAATATGTTTTTATTTTTAAATTTTTTGTGGGGCTTCGTAAATAATAGTCAATAATATCTCATCACGACGCCATACCACCAAAAGTTTGAAAACCCCCGTGTTAGAGTGACATTTCGAGCGTGACGTTTGTTTGCTGCCATGCCTTCACTAAGTTTCAACATGCCTTCGATCGTGTTATGATCTGGGTTTGGAGTATTGAGGTAAGGGACTAGGATTTCGATCCCTGCTTTAATATTAGTAAATTGACTTGGTTCAGGACCAAATTTCCCATATATCTAGCCTCAAGATAGGAAAACAAATAAAATGAAATTGACTGCAGTTACAAGTCCAAGAACGCATCTTTTAGGAAATTCAAAGATAGGGTTGCACTCTAAATATACCAATATTGAATTTGAAAAGTTAAATGAAACGTAGTTTTATATTTTAGCTGAAGTTATATTTATTACACCGAGCTTTAACAGTATTGACGCAGATACATATTTTAACCGAAAGGGTCGAATCATTGACACCACTCGAGTTACCATTTATCAAACACTCGAATTGACAAGCCTTTTTCAATAGACTATGAGGAACGCTTAGTGAACTTCGTTTTTTGTTGTTGACATTACTTAGAACAGAGTTGTCCAGACCGCGGCCCACCTTATACACATTCCGTGCGGCCTGTAGAACAATTATAACGTGCACTATACTAAACCATTGGCAGATATTTGTATTTCTTAGCAGAACAATTTCGATTTATTTTATAACTATTCCAACTTGGAATAGTCCTTTTCCTAATCCCAATGTCGGGATTGATGTTTGTTAAAATCATGGAATTTCATTATTGTATCTATAAACGTCAATACGGTGCGGTGCGGTGCCGATGGGAATGACGTCCTGTGATCGATAAAATGAGAATGAATTGTCTAGTGCAGACAGGACCAAGCCGATGAGGTGAGCTTGCGTCAAATCACTTCTCATTTGAAAAGACGTTTTGTGCCTTTATTTTAGTCAAAACACTGCTCTATTTTCTAGCGTTGGCTAGCGAGCAGTGACAAACCGCAGAGCTGATTTAGCGCCGCGTGATCCAGTTTTTTTTTATATGGGTCCGAGGTCCCAACTTAGACGGCCTTGGCCTTGAGTGTAGAAAAAAGGTGACCGAAGTAAATTGAGAGAAAACGCATTTTCTTACCCACAACAACGTTGGATCACAGTGTCTGGTGCGTTTTCAAGTAATATTTGTCACGAAAGAACATAATTTTAAGCGACATTACAAAACCAAACACGAGAAAAGACGGTACTCCCGTAGTATATGCACCAGGCTAGGGTTAGGCCATAATTATATTCCGATTTTCCTTATTTTAGTTCAATTGCTAGTTCGGAGACTGTCTTGTGTTAGCCAAGTGAATACAACCCTGCCCATAGTAATCAGTTCCTGTACACAACTTGATGTAAAGTAGGCGAACAAAATTAGGTACCTCCATATTTGTACACATACTTCAGGAGCGGTGCCGAAAAGATACCGAAAATACCACGATATTTCTCGGGAAGCAAATTTAAATAACTGAAGGCTTCATATAGTTACCTTGAAAAACTGATTAAAATGATAAACTTTCATTCTTAAATATATTTAAAGTGAGTAAACTCGCGATGTTTTGATCACTTTTGAGTTTTCTCCGTCTACGGCCCGCGAGACCTCCTCTTCGTAAGTTTTTGCGGCCCTACAACCTCGCAACCTTGGACCACCTTGACTTAGAAGAACATTTGGACTTCGATTATCATCATGAATCTGAAATCTCAAAATTTTGACTCCGACTACGAAACTTTGAATATAGACGATTCCATCTCTCATGGAGACATGCTAATCGTTGCCTGCCCAAGCTCGATTTTGTCCCGATTTTTGTTGGATTCCATCTAATAATGTGTGCAATTTATTGTTCAATGAAGGTTTGATATATTTGCGACGGTAACACGCTCGCTCACAGTAAACGTATAAGTCACGCTATCGTTGTTATTTACACTTACCTTGGCCAACCATGCCTTCTACGTGTAATTACGTGTAGGACCAGCATTGAAGCAACGGCCAACATCAGAAGATTTTAGAGACTAGAACATTTTATTTAAATAAAACTAAATAACAAGCAAATATATCAATGCAAGGCTACAGATCTGTTAACACGAATTTGCGAATTGCTATGGTTGTAAAACGAAAAATCGCTATTCTTCTGGGCGAGCTACGCTCCGAATCATAACCTCCATATTGAGTTTGACTCCGTAGTTATATACATAGTTTATTTTCAAGACTGTACGATCTTTTTAGTCCATGTATATTTTTACGATACTCGCCCTTTTTTAATTTTCTACAACATTGTCAAAAGATTGGCGCATTCTGCTTGGATTTCAGAGCACGAGTTGAAGCGGTCTTTCAATTAAAGTTATTGTTCTCATGTATTATTTATTGGATATAGAAAGCAACCAAACAAAAAGGTACAAATAAGGTAATCATAGTGGCTGCGAACCACGCGTCCGGCCCCGCCTGTTTATCGGTAGATGTAACCAATGGCTTCTGGGGCGGTAGGTGAAGCAAGCCGACCAGCAGAGAATACGCGTCCTATCCTGCTGCTATCATTTCCCGAAAACCAGCAGACCCGTCGTAGTCCAGTAGCGGTTCTTTGGAGAGTGCGCACTAAAACAATATAACCACCATGAACCCAGTAGTCAATTCGAAGGGCGTCCGTTAGAATATCATTTGGGATAATCGATCAGGGAGACGCGAGCATATCCCAAACACTTACCGCGTCAGAGATTTTTCCACATTCCAAATTGCCAAGGGTGCAACTTTGCGCAATTTCCTCGTCCGAAGAAGACCCAACACCCATCGGCCCTATTCGAGACGTTGCTTTGAATCCAGGCTTTTGTCACCAACATTTATGCGTTTTCAGCATAAACATAAAGTGCAATCCTCTCACGTAACCGCAACAACTATCACGTTGGATGAAGCAAAAATGAATAGAAGGACATAGTAGCGCTACCGCGAATTTTAATTTTGTAACGTATGCAAGATCGAGGTAGGTATAATAATATTGCTGTTAATATCAGCAATAATATGAAATAGAAAAACGCTTCAAAACGAAACGGTATTCTAACTTATGGGATACATAATTCTTCCACTTTTTGGTACAGGTTAAAGTATAATTAAAGTTCGATTCCGTATTGTCAATAAATATATTTCGAATACAAAAAAGGCGAAACGTTAAGCAACGTAATATGCAATCGAAATATAACTTGGCCAGTGTTCGCATAAGCAAAGTATTATATATATTGTGATATCGAAAAATATGGAAAAACAGAATTGCGTCTTGCGCAAGATGCCAACCTTCTTTCCTTTGTCTTTTGCTTGCTTTCGCTCCTACAATCAACAACAATCTTACAGTTTAAATTTTATAGAAATATAATATAAGTGGCCCATAAACCAGGGACTTCAATGCATTTCGTTATATGAAGTCTAAAAGATTAAATTCGTCGACCGTATTGATTAAATTGTGTTCAAAACATTTGCATAAATGGTTTAAAATCCATTTTATCTGAAGTATATCCGACTACTTTGTTACAATTTCGGTAGCGCTCTAAAAATATATAAACAATCATCAAACGCATTTCAACAGTCAGAAAACGCGAGGCGGTCCAAACTACATCATTTCCTTCGATTACGTAATGAAAATGCCAGAGAGAAAAGGCCAATGCGCAAAAACAATTACCCCTAGTATATATATATATAATATAACATTTAAGTATATTTATAATCGATAGCATTTGACATTTTCTTTATTCAAGAAAACCGTGCCAGAAGTTGGAAATCATCATAAGTGTAAACATCGTTTTGCTCCCACTATGCTCATTGAGTTCTCCCTGGCAGGCGAACATAAACCATCCATGTTTGGAAACAAGTGCAGTAATCCCACGATCTGAGGTTTGATCAGCAAGGTTGTGAACATAGACTCGTTTTCCATTTTTTGACGTGCAATATTTGGATGCGGTCGCCACAATGTCTATAATGTGAAATACCTGTGGTCATTTCGCAATAAGCAGCCATAAAAGACCCATCGACAGCTTCATGTGATAGAAAAATGAGAGATACACCCGACAATAAATTGGATGGTACATTGGTCGCAAGTTGGTGCTCCAGAAGTATGCGCACCAAGATGTCGCACAACCTGAATCCTAACCGGTACACACATACTATGTTCAGGTTGTGCGTCATCTTGTGGCGCATACTTCTGGAGGTCCCGCAAATGTAACACGCATTACACGTCATTGAATGCGCTCGATATCGCTCCCCAATGTTTCAAGTGACCCCGTTTACACACAAAGCGTCGCTTCAGTTCGCGGCAACGCTTCTGATTAAGCGACACATTATTTCACATTCATTTATTATTTTTGTAAATTATAGCTGACAAAGTTATACAGTAGTATTATTGGGTAAATTCCACGCCCAATGATATTACTTATTTTTGATGCATATGTTTATACTTGAAGTCTCCCCTGACTGTTCAACGTTATTATACTCTATGACTAGTTTGCTTTCTTATGGGGGTTAAATCTAGAGTGGATTTGGTCATATTGAACCAAATTGCAATGGTATGCAGTTAGCAATATACTCTACAGTCTACATTAAATGAAATTTCTAATTCGCATACCCAGGATGGTGCATTGTAATGAATTATCCACAATTTCCCAAAATGGACAACAAACTACATTTGAAATTAGTTATGTGCGATGTGAATACTTGGTTTAATTTTATTTAATAATCAGAATATGGCAATTGGGTATTCTTGATGGTCTCTTTTTTGTGGATATTCAACATAATGAATTGTAATATTGACGATGATTTATAATAAATATCTTTCTGCACCTGTCCTTGCATAGTCCGAAATAGTCATTTTATTCAATTTCGTCCTTTTTGTTATTAAGTAGATCACAATCTATTTTATTCCGAAGTATTGTAAATTTTCGATGTTCAAACTAGCTTTCGATTTCAAACTTGGTAAGTTTGAACTTTAATGTTGTTCAATGATTAATTGTATATATGACTGCCTATGTTTCTGAGCAACCGCCCCTGGCGCCATCGAGCGATACAAAAATGACTCGCACAATGTAAACACCTGTGTCGCGCAACCAGGAGTGCGCCGCAACGCGACGCATCCAGTGTAAACGCCCTTAACAGTTTATTTACAAATAAAGTAACATAACATATGAGATTGTACAACAAACAATGTACCAAGCACCATCTCACGGAGAAAAGTCAAATAACTAATATATATAAGCAATAAAGTAAACTATACAGATAAATTAAATAAATAAAAAGCGGAGCTCATAAGTATGCTATGTCAGTAAGAGATGGGTAAGGAGTGGAAGACACATAATAATAGCACTGTAGGTATCATCATATAATTGTGTTTTAAATATAACAAATATTACAACGTGATCGTCTTGATGCCTGGTGGAACCAAAATATAACTTTACCTTTAACATCATGAGCAGATTAAAATATAGTTGACAAAAAACTTGAAAATGAAAAGGCTAGAAATAGGTTTATACAAAGTGTAGAAAAAATATAACATAAAGCCTTTACCGCAAAAAAATTATATATTCACATATTGACAAAATGAAAAAAATGTTGTTTTTTCATAAACTAAAATTGGCTCAGTCTCAATTTCCGTTCAGTCGTCGTCCACGGAATATAAGAGTTTTCAAGAGCATAGTTTTTTGGCCATTTTGATCACGACGACAGAGATGGAAATAATGCTCCACACTAGAGATCCAATCCATGATATAGAAGAGCAGGTGGTGTTGAGATGAGGTTGAGTTAGTAGATACCCAACAATACCTGAAATGTGAGATCTGATAATCAAAAAATGCAAATACAAACATCCATGCATTTCGTACCTTTTTGTTCCATCAAAGTATCTGAAGTTGTTTTTGTACAGAAAAATGATAAAAATTTAATTTGGTATTTGGATATATTTTAAGACATTGCCATTTATAAACAATAAAATATTTTGTATTCGATGCTTACCGCAAAGTCCCAAAAAGACCATCACAATTTCGCAACAGTTTATATCCCATGCTATCTCGCCGAAAGAAGCTCTGTACTGGCGGGATAAAAAACTGCGTAGTTCAATGAATGTGTTAATAGTAATTAATAAAAAATGTGCGATCCACCAGGTCACGATGAAGGTGCTCGAAAAGCACTCCTGCCGCAACATTTCTAAATTTTAAATAATGAATCAGCATTATGCTTGGGTGCTTCCAGAAGAAAATTTAAACGCAAAAAATGCTGACTCAAATATTTCTCTGACCTCCTTTTAGCCACATTGATTGGTTGGCACGAACTCATCTTTTCAACGATAAATTCAAGGTATCGATGGGGAGTCAATGTAACACTCTCGGGAATCATTACCGGGGGCCATTAACGGCATTAGTAATGCGGTTGACAATTCTTCGTCCATTAGCTTATGACAATACTTTTTTGTTCATGCAAGTCAGTTATAAATACATGATTGTCCTTATTTCTGAAGTGTTGGCAGATCGAATTTTAGTCAAAACTCGGTATATAATATGATATTCTAGAAATTCAGGGGTGGTACTTTATCAGCAGAGACTACGTGATATATTTTAACTTGCTCCGCCGAATTTTTGTCGCTTCTGCGCTTTGAGAATATGGACTATATAGGTCAACTTATTCAACGTTTTAAAACTGTCGGAGATCGTGTTACAAACTACAAAGTAACATTTAACGATTCAAATATTCATAACTATATGGAGAGTACGTTAAAACGTGGCAGAAATTATATTTCGATAAATTATGATCCGCCGAAGACCGTTAAATACTTAATACCGTTGAATAATCACAAATATATAAAGATGAAAATGTTAAAATTACCTCTAATAATGATAATTACCATGCCCGAAGCTGAGTATCCGAACCATAGCACAAAATATATGAATGCACCTGAAATTAACAAATTATTCCATAGTTTCGATTCACAAAAATGTTGATTAAACAGAAGAATCTGTGGTGACAAAACGTACCGCAATAATAAAATGGTTATAATTACCTGAAGAGCTATTTAACATCATACTTACATGTGTTTGACACAGCCTCGGAGACAGGCTTGACATCGTCCAATCGAATCCAATTTTTTTGACTTTCGATTTTCGCTGATTCTGGATCATTGTTATTCACACCAAGTTGTCCCATAGTAGTTAATGGCGTATACACAAATATTCAATTCAACTTAGGATTTCTAAAAATCTGAATCATAAACAAATCGCAATCAAAATATAGGTACTCCTTAAGTATGTGAACCAAGATGGCGGACACCGGAACGTAGTATGTGTACCAGGTTAGGGTTAGGTCATAATTTCAGGTACGAATACTACGGGAGTCACTTGGCTAGTCTTCGAACTCGTAATAGAACTAAAATAAGGAAAATAGGAATAAAATTATGGCCTAACCCTAATCTAGTAAACATACGGTGCCGCCATCGGGGTTTACATACTTCTTGAGTTCCAAATAATGTATTGCAGCTCTCTCTTTTCCTCTGCTCGTTGTTTACCTGTCTATCTCTCTCTCTCTAATTCTAAGAAATTTCATGTTGGCGCGATCAACCATCTTAATCATCGTAAAGAGTTCATGGTTAGAATGCTCGTAGTTCGGTAATTACACGATGATAAAGTGAAAGCACGTCTTCCGGACTTCAATATTACGTAATGGGTAGGTGGTAATACGTAAGTCATATATGTGCTCAGTATCGTATTTACCATTCATATTTACAGAACCAAACTGGTTGAGATATATTCTTATGATACCTTATATACACTTATATGAATAATATTCTATTGTTCAGTGCCTTTTATTTGTTTCATTCATAAATATCAAGTTTCGTGTTTGCTTTTCCCAATACTTGCCTTGTCTTTCAGATACCTTAGTTGCAACATAATGTAATCTTAAGCAATAAATAAAAGAGTGAAAATAAGGATCGAAATTCGCTTGTGATTCAGAAGATATTATTTCTGAAGATTTGGTTAGGCATATATTTTATAGCATTGTACCGCACGTTAGTCATTTGCTTTTCGAATAGATGCATATTGTCACGCTAATAACCGAATTGCGTAAGTCATTTTTGGCGATTTTGAGGTTTTTTTATAAAATAGGTATTTATGTAATGCTCCGCACCTGTCTATTAACTCAGATTTTATTTTAAGAATTCCGAAACTCATAAAAATGGAGATTTAGTATGAAATTCATATTTGTGCAATTGTTTCGTTATAATGAATTATCATTGTTACCGCAGGACTATTGTGACGTCACAAATGCAAAATAACCTCTGCGAAGTATTTTCGAGTTTTTGCATCTCGGATTCTAGCTTAACGCGTATTAATTTGAATTTGTACTACAGTATAGGAAGACGTGCACTTGGGATATTCACTGTCCGAGTCCAATTCACCTTGGTTGGCTTTTATATTGGGTGTATTGCTGTTTTATTCTTCATATTTAATCTTAGTCGTATTTCGGGGGATGTGCAGAACGATGTCCCCAAGTCAAATAGACACATTTCTGCCTAAGTCACAGTGCGCCTTTTTTACGTTTTATTTTGTTTTTTTTTCTCAAAACTGCTAAAGATGACTCACGCAATTCGGTTATTAGCGTGACGATATCATTATAACCATTGCCTAATGAGTATACTCATGTCAACCCAATAGTTTGATTCTTTCAGGGCACCTTATTAAATCAGACGTGCCCAAACTGTGTGACGCAGCCCACTAGTTTGGCATGTAAGAAACCAAATTGTGCCTCCAAATTTTATATGTTGAATTCATACTTTTCTTGGTCCTCCCGGAGTATGTGTAACAGGTTAGGGTTACACAACTTGATGTAAAGCAGGCAAACAAAATTAGGTATCTTCATATTAGTACGTACACATACTTCTGGAGCGCCCTTTTCTTTTTGTACCGAGAACATATACGCGCAGAATAACGCGACATTACAAAACAGCTGATGCGGCATCGCACTTGCCTGATCCAATCTGCTTATGTCAATCAGTAAAAAATCAACTTCTGGATTTGAAAAAAGACACATCTCTGAGCACAGAATGGGGAGATGAATATCATCAAATCACTTGTTCGTGCAGAGAAATTTTTTGCGAAATTACATCACCAATCTTACAGACGGTATCATTGAGTTATCGAATGCTTTTGAACGAATTTGCGTTTATACAGACCCACAGCAACTTGATTTTAGGGATACTTTCAACATTGGACTTATTGCATGGGGACCATTACATTTGAACCAGTAATTTCAACCCACGACAATTGTACCTGCATATTATTGCACATATGAAAATTTTTCTTACGGATATTTGAACCCATACTAACCCTAACCCATGGATTTTAGCACCCGCATATAGATTAAACCCACGGATATACGGGTGCAAATGTATGGGTTCAAATGTACGTGGGTTCAAATGTACGGTCACCATTGTATGGTATTCTGCTCTGCTCCATGTATACTTACAATATTACTACACTATCTAATGTTCCATAGATATAGTCACGAATCAGCAGATTTCGTCACAACACCTGTTCTTGTCAGTTCTAAAATACTAAAGACAGAATGCTGATTTTTCCAGCTATTTCACTTTGATACAAAGTTGACTGACGTATACTTACAATTCTTACTGTTCATAATTTCGGCGTCGGTCTACCTATACTCTCGATACCAATCGTCAACAAGACTGGATGAGGAATGAAGAACTCATATACGAACTACTGCTGTGTTATTCAAAATTGAAAACATGTTGATATCCTAAAAATAGAGAATGTCTGCAATACTCTTGTTTCGATAAAGATGCCGCAATGTTGCAATCCACGATCGGGCAAAGGTGACTTGTTTTTGTTCGATTATGTCCAACAGCCTTAGTCAATGTGAACCGCATGTGTGTATTGTTCATTTTAGATTTATATGACAAACAGCAAAATGTATAGGGGTATCACCTTGTTGAATTTTTTTTAGATGTACCATGTAATTGGAACCCATGAAACTCCAGACGTATCAATCTTTTATGGAACTTCTCATGACAGGGCGTATTGTTCACAAGTTTTATAATTTCACCATCCTGCCTGTTAAGTGTTTACTGTTGGGATTTTAATCAAACTATATTGTGGGGCCAAGGCGTTGGGCCTAATTATATAGATATACATAAACTGGCTTTGCATAAACACTTCATAAAAATATGTTTGTATTCTAGGTAAGAAATCTTAGGATAGAAAAATTCCATTACAATTACCTGTTAGAAAGCCACATAAATCATAACACTATCTCCAATATTTATATATTCAGGGGCTCAGAATCAATTGCTGGTTATCGCTAAATTGAAAGTTTAATCTCGTGTTACATCTTTTTTTATATTTTACTAAATTTGTTTGACTTAAATTTTATTTTTAGCATGATCGTAGTTTGCACTTTCATGATATAAAATTTTTAAAATAGGAATGTTTAATCTTTGTTCACTGAAAAGTAAAGGGCATTTAGCCTGATTTTGTTAGCTTACGAAATAAGCGTCTCAAACGTTGAATTGTCACCAGCAAATAAGGAACAACGCGGATTCACGACCGCGACACCCTCATCGCAGAAGTATTGGTTAATTAACGCGTGTACAGGAAAATTATAAATTAAGATTGAAAAGATTATTTACGATCTGTGATTTACAGACTCGATAGAATATACCGAGGAATGAATGTGGAATTGAAATGCAAACGTTTTTATCCATAAAAATATTTCGGTCTTCAACCAGACCTTATCCACACACTGTGGGAATTTTAGCAACTAATCAAATCGTCGTCAAATAATCAAATACAATATGGCCTTGGGAATAACAGCCATCTCGGTCGCAACCTGTACACACTCCGCAACTTCGAGGCTCGGGATCTTGCGTTATACATACTTCTACAAGAGAGAAATTATAACATTTAAAGCTTGTAATCACGAATGCGATTCTCATTCTGCGACAACTATCCGACACTCATCGAAAGCCAAGTCACTGAAAACCTCGACTCTTGAGACAGAAGAGAGACCACAACATCACCCATTCCTCATATTTGCTCCCATGCATATGCCACACGACGTGATTTATACAATATTTCAGGCTTTGATTAAAACGTGTAAGAGTCGTGGGTAAGAAAACATAATTATGGAAGTTGAGTGAAAATTTATAATTAACAATTACAGCGCAAAAAAAGTTTAAAACGAATACTGATAACATTAAAAAGGATATGGATGTTGCTCTTTGTACAAAGCCTGAAGGACTATATAGTAAGATGTATTAAGTATGAAGAACGAAAACGTATTTTAGTTTAAATGGTTCGAAAAGTGATGATACCTTGTGCTGTAGTATTAGTGAAAATCAGAAAATACGATATACATTTCCCGAGTTCGTATGTTAACTAGATGATTAAGAAGGAAGTTGTTATTGATAATCATGTTAAACATCACGAAACTACCATCAACAAGCGTTGCGAAATTGACAAAAAAGATGATGTGAATGAGTCAAGTAAAAAATTGAATATAGTGTGCCAACTTCAATGACAGTTTATGGCAGTATGATCTTTATGACTAAATATGAATGTATATTACTATGTTGCTTCGTAGCCACAAATTTTCCGGGCCAAACTAGGAAAAAAATACATGAGTCAAGAGTAACAGTTCATTAACGAAATGGGTAAAGGGTTAACGAAGATAAACACAATCAATGTATATGAAATCATCATGATACCATAAATTGCGTACTATATATAAGTATAAGGTCATAACACTGAAGGAAATACAGGGTGACCCTATTAAACAGAACCCATACATTTCTCAATCACTTCTAGGAAAATTTATTATAACACTCTGTTTGTGTATGATAGTACTCAATAATTTCAGTAATATAGGACGTTTTGCACAACATTAATGTTCTCTAGAATATGTTCCAATTGACTTGGGTTCTGTTTTAGAGGGTCACCCCGTTGGTTATGTTAATTGCTCTGAATATAAGTCTCCGTTTCAAACAGTTTAAAACACTCCTTTCATTTGAACATTAATATAAGATTGCATAAACATAGATGTATTCCGCTAAATAAAAATTATTAAGAGTTGAAGTTGTATTGAAAAGATATAGCTAAGTCTCGGCTGTTCAGCTGAGTTTACAGTTATTAAAGGTCTTTCGTCATAATGTTTTATTTGCAAATGATTGCTGCATTCGAAATTATTAACAAACTTTGATCGAAATCCTTCCCACGACAACGATAACAATAGAGACGATGCTCCAAATTAATAACCCAGACCATTGAAACATTGAGCAGACTGTGTCCACTTGATGCTGAACCATATAGGTCCCTATGATTCCTGAAATATAAAAAATAAAGTTAAAAAAATTAGCCGCTTTTTTGAGTTCATGAAAAATATCAAAAATAGGATTAGGTTACATTTTCAATATGAAGTAAAATCAAGGTCTAGCCGTCTTACCGATGACTCCCCAGATAACAAGTAACAAATCGCAGTTTAAGGGACAGCGAGACCTGACGTCGACGTCTGAATCGTCAACGCGACGAATGTGTACGAACTCAAAAATCGTGCCAACAAAAAGAAAAACAGCCTCTGCGGTCCACCAGACAACTAAGAAACCATCGAGGGAACAACCGAAATCCCGAAAGGCTCCTGCAAAATAATAAATGTTCATGTCAATTACGTTGTTCTCATAACAAATGATAAACAACAATATATTATTTGCACTCGAAATTTTATTTTAGTTTCATAAAAATTGAAACTTTCTGTTAAGAATTTCAATGTTTAATTTTTTATTGTATTGTTTAAACATATTTTAATAAATATGTAATACCTTACCTAGTGTTACACAAGTAGCAACGTAGAATATCAACATCGTGGTATATACATACTGCCACACTGTAAATAAAAACAAAAAATATAATTATATAAAGGCAATATCAAAACCATTCATTATACAACACAGCCACTAAAATACACAATTAGACTACTTGTTTTGTTTTTCCTGTTTTAAGAGAATAAAGGATTATAACACAGCCATGACAATCAATAAATTTATGTGACATGTAAATTGTAGAAGGAATTGAATACTACTAAAGTACTGGAGTACCTAATACTATAGATATAATTCTATTTATATCATTGGCCCATGTTTATACTCACAATGCGTTCGTTTTCCTTCCCCGACCGATACAACAGATTCAGTGACGTCCTTCCCTTCCTCTACTTCTGTAATATTGACATCCCACTGAACCATTCTGACGACAATGAGTATATTAATATTAATAAGAGTAAAATCTGTAAATAAAAACATAACATTAAATCAAGTACAAAAATGTCGATTTCCATCTTTATAACTTTATCCCTGTCGTGAAATTAAATCTCCTTGAAAATCCTTGATTTAAACCAAAAACTGTTGCGGATTAAAACACTGTTGAGCACACAATTTTTACTGAACTTTGTCAGATCCTCTCACTTTTATATAGTCACCGAATACCCAAATTATTATCATTCGTGGTCCACTTGCTCCATATGACTATGTCGCTTTCAGTACATATAGCGTGTTCCTACGAGAAGATGACATAGACAGTTTGAAAAGTTCTGCTGTCGTAGTGCATCCTATTTATAGGCGTCGTTCTATGTGTATTTTATATGTATATGTTCTATTGTTCTATGTATATTTTAATGAAAATCACCTTAGGAATCACCTTTTCTTTTTGTACCGAGAACATATACGCGCAGAATAACGCGACATTACAAAACAGCTGATGCGGCATCGCACTTGCCTGATCCAATCTGCTTATGTCAATCAGTAAAAAATCAACTTCTGGATTTGAAAAAAGACACATCTCTGAGCACAGAATGGGGAGATGAATATCATCAAATCACTTGTTCGTGCAGAGAAATTTCTTGCGAAATTACATCACCAATCTTACAGACGGTATCATTGAGTTATCGAATGCTTTTGAACGAATTTGCGTTTATACAGACCCACAGCAACTTGATTTTAGGGATACTTTCAACATTGGACTTATTGCATGGGTTCCATTACATTTGAACCAGTAATTTCAACCCACGACAATTGTACCTGCATATTATTGCACATATGAAAATTTTTCTTACGGATATTTGAACCCATACTAACCCTAACCCATGGATTTTAGCACCCGCATATAGATTAAACCCACGGATATACGGGTGTACGTGGGTTCAAATGTACGGTCACCATTGTATGGTATTCTGCTCTGCTCCATGTATACTTACAATATTACTACACTATCTAATGTTCCATAGATATAGTCACGAATCAGCAGATTTCGTCACAACACCTGTTCTTGTCAGTTCTAAAATACTAAAGACAGAATGCTGATTTTTCCAGCTATTTCACTTTGATACAAAGTTGACTGACGTATACTTACAATTCTTACTGTTCATAATTTCGGCGTCGGTCTACCTATACTCTCGATACCAATCGTCAACAAGACTGGATGAGGAATGAAGAACTCATATACGAACTACTGCTGTGTTATTCAAAATTGAAAACATGTTGATATCCTAAAAATAGAGAATGTCTGCAATACTCTTGTTTCGATAAAGATGCCGCAATGTTGCAATCCACGATCGGGCAAAGGTGACTTATTTTTGTTCGATTATGTCCAACAGCCTTAGTCAATGTGAACCGCATGTGTGTATTGTTCATTTTAGATTTATATGGCAAACAGCAAAATGTATAGGGGTATCACCTTGTTGAATTTTTTTTTAGATGTACCATGTAATTGGAACCCATGAAACTCCAGACGTATCAATCTTTTATGGAACTTCTCATGACAAGGCGTATTGTTCACAAGTTTTATAATTTCACCATCCTGCCTGTTAAGTGTTTACTGTTGGGATTTTAATCAAACTATATTGTGGGGCCAAGGCGTTGGGCCTAATTATATAGATATACATAAACTGGCTTTGCATAAACACTTCATAAAAATATGTTTGTATTCTAGGTAAGAAATCTTAGGATAGAAAAATTCCATTACAATTACCTGTTAGAAAGCCACATAAATCATAACACTATCTTCAATATTTATATATTCAGGGGCTCAGAATCAATTGCTGGTTATCGCTAAATTGAAAGTTTAATCTCGTGTTACATCTTTTTTTATATTTTACTAAATTTGTTTGACTTAAATTTTATTTTTAGCATGATCGTAGTTTGCACTTTCATGATATAAAATTTTTAAAATAGGAATGTTTAATCTTTGTTCACTGAAAAGTAAAGGGCATTTAGCCTGATTTTGTTAGCTTACGAAATAAGCGTCTCAAACGTTGAATTGTCACCAGCAAATAAGGAACAACGCGGATTCACGACCGCGACACCCTCATCGCAGAAGTATTGGTTAATTAACGCGTGTACAGGAAAATTATAAATTAAGATTGAAAAGATTATTTACGATCTGTGATTTACAGACTCGATAGAATATACCGAGGAATGAATGTGGAATTGAAATGCAAACGTTTTTATCCATAAAAATATTTCGGTCTTCAACCAGACCTTATCCACACACTGTGGGAATTTTAGCAACTAATCAAATCGTCGTCAAATATTCAAATACAATATGGCCTTGGGAATAACAGCCATCTCGGTCGCAACCTGTACACACTCCGCAACTTCGAGGCTCGGGATCTTGCGTTATACATACTTCTACATGAGAGAAATTATAACATTTAAAGCTTGTAATCACGAATGCGATTCTCATTCTGCGACAACTATCCGACACTCATCGAAAGCCAAGTCACTGAAAACCTCGACTCTTGAGACAGAAGAGAGACCACAACATCACCCATTCCTCATATTTGCTCCCATGCATATGCCACACGACGTGATTTATACAATATTTCAGGCTTTGATTAAAACGTGTAAGAGTCGTGGGTAAGAAAACATAATTATGGAAGTTGAGTGAAAATTTATAATTAACAATTACAGCGCAAAAAAAGTTTAAAACGAATACTGATAACATTAAAAAGGATATGGATGTTGCTCTTTGTACAAAGCCTGAAGGACTATATAGTAAGATGTATTAAGTATGAAGAACGAAAACGTATTTTAGTTTAAATGGTTCGAAAAGTGATGATACCTTGTGCTATAGTATTAGTGAAAATCAGAAAATACGATATACATTTCCCGAGTTCGTATGTTAACTAGATGATTAAGAAGGAAGTTGTTATTGATAATCATGTTAAACATCACGAAACTACCATCAACAAACGTTGCGAAATTGACAAAAAAGATGATGTGAATGAGTCAAGTAAAAAATTGAATATAGTGTGCCAACTTCAATGACAGTTTATGGCAGTATGATCTTTATGACTAAATATGAATGTATATTACTATGTTGCTTCGTAGCCACAAATTTTCCGGGCCAAACTAGGAAAAAAATACATGAGTCAAGAGTAACAGTTCATTAACGAAATGGGTAAAGGGTTAACGAAGACAAACACAATCAATGTATATGAAATCATCATGATACCATAAATTGCGTACTATATATAAGTATAAGGTCATAACACTGAAGGAAATACAGGGTGACCCTATTAAACAGAACCCATACATTTCTCAATCACTTCTAGGAAAATTTATTATAACACTCTGTTTGTGTATGATAGTACTCAATGATTTCAGTAATATAGGACGTTTTGCACAACATTAATGTTCTCTAGAATATGTTCCAATTGACTTGGGTTCTGTTTTAGAGGGTCACCCCGTTGGTTATGTTAATTGCTCTGAATATAAGTCTCCGTTTCAAACAGTTTCAAACACTCCTTTCATTTGAACATTAATATAAGATTGCATAAACATAGATGTATTCCGCTAAATAAAAATTATTAAGAGTTGAAGTTGTATTGAAAAGATATAGCTAAGTCTCGGCTGTTCAGCTGAGTTTACAGTTATTAAAGGTCTTTCGTCATAATGTTTTATTTGCAAATGATTGCTGCATTCGAAATTAGTAACAAACTTTGATCGAAATCCTTCCCACGACAACGATAACAATAGAGACGATGCTCCAAATTAATAACCCAGACCATTGAAACATTGAGCAGACTGTGTCCACTTGATGCTGAACCATATAGTTTCCTATGATTCCTGAAATATAAAAAATAAAGTTAAAAAAATTAGCCGCTTTTTTGAGTTCATGAAAAATATCAAAAATAGGATTAGGTTACATTTTCAATATGAAGTAAAATCAAGGTCTAGCCGTCTTACCGATGACTCCCCAGATAACAAGTAACAAATCGCAGTTTAAGGGACAGCGAGACCTGACGTCGACGTCTGAATCGTCAACGCGACGAATGTGTACGAACTCAAAAATCGTGCCAACAAAAAGAAAAACAGCCTCTGCGGTCCACCAGACAACTAAGAAACCATCGAGGGAACAACCGAAATCCCGAAAGGCTCCTGCAAAATAATAAATGTTCATGTCAATTACGTTGTTCTCATAACAAATGATAAACAACAATATATTATTTGCACTCGAAATTTTATTTTAGTTTCATAAAAATTGAAACTTTCTGTTAAGAATTTCAATGTTTAATTTTTTATTGTGTTGTTTAAACCTATTTTAATAAATATGTAATACCTTACCTAGTGTTACACAAGTAGCAACGTAGAATATCAACATCGTGGTATATACATACTGCCACACTGTAAATAAAAACAAAAAATATAATTATATAAAGCAATATCAAAACCATTCATTATACAACACAGCCACTAAAATACACAATTAGACTACTTGTTTTGTTTTTCCTGTTTTAAGAGAATAAAGGATTATAACACAGCCATGACAATCAATAAATTTATGTGACATGTAAATTGTAGAAGGAATTGAATACTACTAAAGTACTGGAGTACCTAATACTAGATATAATTCTATTTATATCATTGGCCCATGTTTATACTCACAATGCGTTCGTTTTCCTTCCCCGACCGATACAACAGATTCAGTGACGTCCTTCCCTTCCTCTACTTCTGTAATTTTGACATCCCACTGAACCATTCTGACGACAATAAGTATATTAATATTAATAAGAGTAAAATCTGTAAATAAAAACATAACATTAAATCAAGTACAAAAATGTCGATTTCCATCTTTATAACTTTATCCCTGTCGTGAAATTAAATCTCCTTGAAAATCCTTGATTTAAACCAAAAACTGTTGCGGATTAAAACACTGTTGAGCACACAATTTTTACTGAACTTTGTCAGATCCTCTCACTTTTATATAGTCACCGAATACCCAAATTATTATCATTCGTGGTCCACTTGCTCCATATGACTATGTTGCTTTCAGTACATATAGCGTGTTCCTACGAGAAGATGACATAGACAGTTTGAAAAGTTCTGCTGTCGTAGTGCATCCTATTTATAGGCGTCGTTCTATGTGTATTTTATATGTATATGTTCTATGTATATTTTAATGAAAATCACCTTAGGATTGGCATAGATAAAATAAATTTACAAAAAAAAATCGAAACTTCTTTAATTTAAACACGTATTACGCCATAAGTATAATCGTCATGAAATACCAGAATGCAGAACTCTTACCAAATAAACAATGGCAATGATATTGTTTTGCAAAGCGACCAACAATAAATAGAATATTTCCGTATTGTTTTATTTTACAAATAGGCTATTTTTGCAAAATATTCAAACTTGCCATTGTTTGATAGACGGAACTAACGGTTGTAAAACCAGGTGGATACCGAAGACACTTCACGGTGCTATTTTATATTTATCCCAAGTACGAATAACTTGGGAAATGGAAATGAAAAAAATACCAATATTGCTCAGTTATATTGCAATATATATATATACCGTATATAGTGGGAGCGTATTTTTGATATATAAAATGAAGTTGTTAAAATGTTGAAACGATGTTTGTTATATACATTGATAACGTTACCATTCAGACGCTAGGTAAAGATTTTTATATTTGCATTGCTTTACGTTGCGACCGGATCATTGTTGGTAAGAATTACTACATAAGGAGCCTATAGAAATATTGAATTATTAATGCTAACTGCCTTAACTATGTCCAATCAAATATTTGATAATTGAAAAACGAAAAGCTGCAGAATAAAATATCATGAACGTAGCGAGAATAGCACATAATACGTTACTGAACAAAACAACACAAGAAGTAGTCATGCCCGTGTCTGGGTTTCACCCGGGTGATTTTATATCCCAGAGTTTGAAAGCAGAACCATTTACCGTCTTTGTTACTTGAGACATTTTTAAGCAACAAAGAAGTTTTGAATTTCATAACATGATGTCATTTCAAAATAATATCGCAATGTCAAGACAAGTACATACCAGGAAATTTTGGTTGAAGGTTGCAACACGCAACGCTTTTTTAACATCGCAATCAAAATCTTCTATCTAACTAGCAGATAATACCTATTATAACTGTATATTAGACACTAAGATTTATTTAAAATGCAATCTACTGCATACTTACATCCACCAAGATTTTTTTTATTATGATCGAAACATAAGTCGAAAGTAACAAAGTTATATTTTCGTTTTGTTACATTCTTATACGGTATACGCAAGTCATACGGTATTTCAAACGGCAAACATTTGACACAGGTAGTAAGTACTTCTTGTTTGCACACATTTCCGCTTTTTCTCCCCGATCGTCAGAGCGCTTATTTATATAAATTAACATATATTCATGCTTGACCAACTGCAGTTCTTCTACATGTCATACCAGGCAAATTATACAACACGATGCTTTTGAATGAATTGCCTCCTAAAGCCACATCTTGTAAAATATTTTGTGGTTATGAAGTTTTTTTCTGTTTGTCAAAACAACCAAATTTTATCTACGGCATATTTATGTCACCACGCGTTAAAAGACATAATACAACTGAAAAGTGCTTGATACGCGTAAGTATTCGAATTAATTTGAATTGAACAAGAACATGCGACGGAGTTTGTTCGCTCACTAAATAAATCGAAGCTATTTCTCCAAGTATCTATTGCATTTGACGATTTTATTCCCAAAATTAAAATTGTAAAGTAGGAATTGTGAAATTGAAAATTACTTTCCGTATCCATAGACCAATCTAATTTTTTATGATCGGTAATTATTCATATTTTATCATCACTATTTTTACACCGTAAAATTTCCTTGAAATTCAATCGTTATTTATGCTTGTGCAATATAGTTGTTTTTTAATACAATAGCAAGATATCCAGTGGCAAACAAACTTTTATGTTTGTTATCCACAAACTTCTGAGCAATGGTGCAACTTAAATGTTCTCATTGGTATTTATAGAACACACTTCTGTGAAAATCATCCTGGGAGACAGAACTTCTAGACAACACATTCAGATATAATGGTCTGGGTTTTCCTGGCTATTTATCAGATAATTATTACGCAATAACTATGGCTTATATCTACATTGTATAATACGCAACATTGTTATTCGAAATCGGAAATTTGATATCCAATTTGACAGCCACCATACTCCAATATTAATCGAATAGCTAATATCACAAATATGCAAAAATTAATTTACTTTACGTGTATTTCTACTGGTACATAAAAATCGTAAAAGTCATACTTACGTCTAAGTTGTAATCTTGAGTCAACAACAGAGAAAAAGTTCGCACTCGATATGAAAGAGGAACTTTAATTCATATGAAAGGTTACACAAACTCAATGAAACGACATAATATTTTAACCAGAATATCGGTCGGAGACCGAAGACTCATCGATCGAAAGTTAGGGGATCCCCAAAACAGAAACTGCGGTTTCGATTCATTCGCTTTGACTCTATAGTGACACCACGTGTCCCATTAATAATTAATTTATGACTCGTTAATTATGAGACATAACACATCCAAAATCAAAAGGCTTCTGGTCCGAGATATGATGAATGCACATGCAAAATTTGGAGCAGATTCAACCCCGCTTTCGTGAGATACCGCGTAAGATACGGAAGTGTCTAACAGACAGACAGTAAAACAAACAGACAGACAGACAGACAAACAAATACCTATCAACATACTTACCGATCAAGATCGATAAGTAATAATATCGGGATCTTCTGGACCTTATTCAAAAAAGAATACTGTTCTTCTGAACCTGTCTCTCCAAAACAATTCTCAGTCGCCAAACTGGGTTGGATGTGATCTACCAGCAGAAAACTATCAGGGTAACTACCAGACGCGAAAAAAGAATTTCGAGGCCAAGTTTTTTTCCCATGTACTTCAGTTATGTGGAATTCACTTCCTAATGGCTGGTCGTATTGAAATGGACTGCTGTGAGTATCGCGTCAATCGGTATGTAAACCGAAGCGCAATTCTTTATACTCTCAGTAAGTCTTACACTTTTATGATCGCGGGTAATGTATATTGATATTCTTGGAATTTCAATCTCACACGAATACTATTTTACTAATTAAGCAAAAGCAATAAATCAACGCAAAATATTTCTTCATGAAATACTTTAAATACACCTAATTCTATCCTTGTCTATTGCATTTCTTGTACGCCATGGACCGGGGAATAACCGTGGTAAATTACCAAAAGGAAAATTGAGGTTGCGCAATTTTTTGCACTCCCAACTTTACACATTAATAAACGATTGAATAACGTTATCTCTCACTGTGACATTGGTTTGTCAAATATTTCAAACTGAGTGAAAATTCCGATGATTGAATTTTGTGTTTTTATGAAGATATAACAATATGTAAAAGCTACACGCCTTATAAAAGTTGGTGGTACTTATAACCCGTTTGTTTACGCAGAACACTAAACATGTCGACAAATCTTTACAATTATCTGTGGTAATTGAGATATCATTATTATCCTTTACAGTTTACACCTCTAGATTTAAACGATTGATCCAATAAGATTTATCTCATGGTAAAGTAGAGTGAAAATCAAACCGTGGATCTTTGAGCATTTGCATCACAATCAGACTATACTCAGTAACAGTACCTAATTAACAGAAGCACCATGTAGGATCAGCTCAGCAATATGACTGTAACTATCACTAACTGTCGTGCTTTTGTTGTCTTTAATCGAGCAAATAGGTAAGAAAATACGACTAAAGTTACACAACCGAAACGTGGAAATTACCAAACTAAAGGCTGCGATCTACATCGTCAAATCAAAACGTTTTTGCGTAATATACTACTTCTGCTATCATAGAACGGAGCAAATATTTTTAGGTGAAAACGTAAACATTTCTCAACTGAACCCTAAAGATAAACAGCATCGTTGTTTACCTGAAGTTGGGCAGCATGGAACTATACAAGAAACGGACTCGGAGCGTGCTTATATTCAATAATCGTATAATTTATGTTACATAAAGAAGCACTCACTCTCAGACCAGTAGTCGTCAAGTAAACAAAGTCATATTTATTGAACTCGTTAGTCACGGCCTGATTACGGTTTTGTGATAAATTGAACGGAGTGTGAATCAAAGGTGGCTGTATGTTCAGTTTCTAATCTAAGATGCTTTGGAATTTTACGAACTGGAAAAGCTACAGCATATATGGATTTCTTCATAAAAATCAAGGCAGTTAGTTTAACCGTAGTAGTATATATTTACGCTTTAACAAATCGTATCGCCGCAATATGCTTTCATGAGCATGTTACGCTTGACTGTATGATTGGACTGTTAATTTTATTCCATTCGCATGAAAAGATAAAAAAAAAATTCGCAGTCATTTAACTGTAACTATGCTCAATTTATGCATGAAACGATCCTAATCTTGCAGTAACCGTAGTGGATAACCAAAACTTTTATTATGAGCGTTTACAAATTGAATTTAGGTAATTAACTTATGCCTTCATTATTAGTGTACGCGAGATGTAATCGCGTCAGCTTGTAGCATTTTGCTTGACTCATCCAGTTACAGAATTGCGCGGTGGCTCACGGACTGGGTTTTACGCCTGACTACCCGATGACATCGTCTCATTTGAAATGGTAGTCAGGTATACAAATAGTGCTTGATACCTACCGTTATTACAGTAAGAGTAGGGATATGATTTAAATTTGGTTTAATTTCCAATTCATGTATTGTTGAACAGGATTATTATAAGTATATATTAGTTTATGATCAAAATAACAGAAGATAAACTAATTGAGAAAAGCAGAATAAATATAAACTGAGAACAGAATCAGGAGAGCAAACTTAAAATTTGAGCTCGCCCAAGTTTGATTTCGAAGTGATGAGTTGTTAGAGAATCATTC